AAGAGCCACCCCGTCACAGCTACAAAGGCGGGGGGAGATCATTTCTGTGGAGGGGAGAATGGAGAAAGAAAGGAAGAAACTACGAGAACGACAGTAGCCTTCGTCCTCATCAGGGATCCGTGCTACAGTACTGGAGGTCGAGCTGCAGGCGTGTGGGGAAGGCGCCCAGCAGGTGCAGGAGGAGGGTGGCTGCGGAACGCTAGGAAGAACACACCAGCTCCTCTGGAATGTGTGAGGCTCACCCCACTGCGGCCTCTTCAGTTGAGGAAGACTCAGGTTAGGTTCATGAAGAAATACCAGGAGCTACAAAGACCCAGGGCTGGGAATGGAGACCATCCCGGAGCAGGGGATAAGGCATGCGGACAGAGAGGACCTGAGAGAGGCAGGGTGGCAGCACACGGGCCCTCCCACCGGGCCCAGCTCTGTGCTGGGCGCCTCCAGGGGCCCGCTAGTGCCAGAGCCGGTGAGGCAGAACCACAGGGAAGGAGGTTAACTACTTGTTAACTGACTGTATCCTTTCTCAGAGGACAAAGCAGGTGCAGCCCAGAGGGAGGAGAGACACAGGTCACATGGCTCATGACAGGTCTGTTTACCAAGGCTGAAGGAAGGGATGCAGGGGCACGGAGGGAGCTCAGAAGCAGGGGAGGGCGGAAGGAAGACAGACACGGCGAGTTGAATGGGAGGCCAGGCCCTGTCAGCCAATGCGGCTTCTCCCCGGCTCCTCCACGTAGTTCCCCACAGAGTCACGCTTCTCTCCTCCCAAGCATCTCCCCCTCAGAGGCAGCCTCGCCTAGAGAAGCCAAAATGCTGGGATCCCTCTCCGGTTTAGCAACATCCCCTTCCCAACAGCAGGGTGAAGCCCCTGGCATGTGACCGTGCCACCCACAGCCTTGGGATCCCCACTTCACGTAGGGAGACGCAGTAACCCACCCATGTCGTGGACCATGAGGGGAACCAAGTCGGAGACTAGTTAGTTACTTAGCGTCCACTTGCTAACCTCTCGGAAACCCTCGGGCCCAACCACCAGCCCAGGACTGCCCCGTGCATGCAGGCCGCACCTCCACAGGTCCCACCCAGGGGAAGTCCCCTGCCCAGCATCTGGGTCCTGGACAGCCGCTGCACTGCCCAGGTCTCACCAACAAGCACCCAATGCCAATCCCAACTCTCTTCCGTGACCCTGCTTCTTTCCTCATCCTTAGCCCCCCAGCTCCAGTGTCCTTCTCACAGGAATGTCATCACCCCGGAAGCCAGAACCCTGTCTCCTTAACTTAACCTCCTTCCCTCCCCCTCGCGCCTCACAGTCCCCACAGTGCTGGAACACAGTCACTCTTTCCTAACTCCAGATGCACTCCCTCCCAGGCCAGCCTCTCTCCTACTCCCTCGGCTCCCACACGCACCCCTATCGGCCAATGCTGTGGACCTGGGTCACCCCTGGGGCTTCTGGGGACCAAGTGGATCCTCCCCAGGAGATGCTGAGCCCCACACCTGCCCCTCCCCCACAACACACCATGGCCCCCTGGGAAATCAAGTCAACAGGCTTTCTTTCTCCTGCGGGGCCTGGCTCCCTGCCCCCTCCTCCACCTCTACCACACAGCTCTCCTAATGCTCTGACAAGAGGGCTCTAGCATCCCTTGGTACTGCCTGGATCTCAAACACTACCAACTTGCCCTCTGCGCTCAACCCAACCCCGGCTACCCAATTCACCCAACAGTTCCAACCAGTCCGGAGAACCTACGCAGCACCGGATCCCTAGAGTCCTTTGTCCAGCAAAGCCATCTCAACTGTCCTACCGGCGCTGGCACCAGTGCTGCCTTCTGGGATTTAACCCAAAGGACCCAGACCTCCGTGCACCAAGTGTCCAAGTTGCAGGTGTCCTCAAGGTTGGCCTTCCGGTCTGGGAGTGAACTGGGTCCCCTCCGGGGGATCCAATCATGCTAGTCTCCCACATCCACTCACTGTTCACCAGGCAACCCCACAGCACTCGCTTGCGCCCGCCTCTGCCCAGCCACAGCCATCCCCGACGGCCTCCATCTCATCAACCCACCTCAGTCCCTAATCCGAGAATGCCCAGGACCCCGTGGGCCGCAAACGCGGGGATGGTCCTTGTCCCCAAAACTCTCCCGGCGTTTCCCCGGGGTGGAAGTGGGGGACTCTCCTGTCCTAAGCTCGAAACCCGGCTCCTAACGCCTCGCCCAGCCCGCTCCAAGCCTCTCCCCAGACCCTCAATAGGAAACCTCCTGTTCTTCCGGCTCCGTTTGGGTCCCCCACCACCACCAAAAAAACCAAACAAACAAAAACCCCACAGCTTCCGGTCTACCGAACTCCAGGGGTCCAAGTTCATCCCCACCCCCCGGACCCACCCCTTCTCGAAGCCGACAGCGCCCACCCCCAACATCTCCCCCGCAGCCAGGGCCAGAGTCCACCCTCCGGCCGTCCCCGCGACGCCCCCCGGTCCTCGCAGCCTGTCCCCGGCCGGACGCCGGACTCCCGCGTCCCACACAGCCCTGTCTCGGCCCCCGCCCCGCGCACTCTCACAATGTCCGTCCGGCCCCGAGTAGCCGCCGGGCTCCGGGTGCGGCTGCAGCCCGGGCGGCGGTGGCTGCGCGGTCCCCTCCAGCTCGGAGCCCCCCTCGGTCTCGACCTCCTCCTCGTGGTGCCCAGGTGGCCCCGGTTCGTCGTCGGCCTCGAGCTCCCGCTCGTCGTCGGGCTCCTCGGCCTCCAGCGCAGCCTGCAGCCGTTCAGCAAGCTCGGCCTTAAGGCCGCGAGTGTCCAGGCCGCGGCGCTGCAGCTCCTCGCGAAGTTCGTTCACCTTCAGACGGCGTACATCCATGGCCCGGGCCCCAGGGGCGGCCCCCGAGCCCGGCCCGGCCTCCCAAGGCTCTGTCCCCCTTAAACCTTTCCTGTCAGGAGGAAAAGGGGGAAAAGGGGAGGGGGGGCTACTCCAATGGCGGCGGCAGCTCAAAATGGCCGTCGCCGCCTCCCCCCCCTCCAGAGCCCAGCACTGTGTAACACGGGTGCCGATTGGTCAGCACGCGGGGGCAACGGGCGCGGGCCGAGATATTCAGCCAGTCAGAGCACGGCTTTCAAAATGACGACAGCGAGAGGGCCTACAAGCTGCCGGGAAGGAAGCGTTGGCCTACGTCGAAAGTCGAGGCCTGAGCGGAGGGCGGGAAAAATCAGAAGGCGGAGCGCGAGCTGATTGGGTGGCGCCCGCGCGCCCGCTGCTGTAGGGTCAAATGAGGGAAGGTGAGTAACGATTCCGACCAATCAGCGATGGGATTTCAGAATGAGCGTTCCCATGGCTTTTCCTGCGCAGTCCTTGCATCCAGCCGAGTGTCTTTGTAACGTCTGTTTCGATTTGTCCAAATCTCCCGCCCCTTGAGGTGAAGTCGCCAAGGACCAATCCCACGGAGGGCCGGCGGACACGCCTCCTTCCTGTGGCCTTCCGGCAACCGGAAAGAGATGAATCCACGAAGGACCCGCCCCTTGCCGTTAGGGCGGTTTCAAAACAATCCTTCCACCAATTGCTTTTATTATCTCGCTTAGAGTCGGTGTCCAAGCGTCGCCCGAGGAAAAGCTAACCAGATTGGCCATTGATTTTTTTTTCTTTTTCCAGAGGCTTGCCTCACCAATTGCGCTGTCGAGGGAGGGTGTCCGGTATAGATATTTAAATAGACTCACAAGCTGGGACTCGGCTTTTTTTTTTTTAACTTTGTCCAGTAGGTCCGAAAACAGAACGACAAGTGGTGAAGGGAAGCACTTACGCCCACCCTCTGCTCACGCCGCCCCTCCGTCCGCGGACGCTCCTGCTCGCGGCCATAGAGCTTCCCCGCTCCCTTCCAGTTCTAGAAAGGGGCTTCCGGCACTCCCATTAGCTCAACAACCTCAAACAGCCGCTGTCTGGGAGATCTGGCTAGGAGTAAGAGGGGCGTGCACACCGTTGAGCTCCGAGGCCTCAGGCTAATAAATCCCCGCCCTGTCGTCTCTAACTCCAAGATGATGCTGCAGGTGCCTTCCGCCCACACCCTCACCCCCCTAGGCAGATAAATCCCCACGGGCTCGGGTCACACCCGAGGCATTGGACCCAGCAAGGTGCGTGCAGGAGCCCGCCAAGGTCCTACCCACCCTAAGCGGACAGCATCCTACGACCAAGATCCCCGGGAGAAGGAGAGGAGGGTGGAGGGACAGTTAGCACACGCCGCAGCACCCACGCAGCCCGCGGGACAGACACTCACGTGGGCCCGGAGGTTCCAGTCCAGACACCCCGCCCCTCGCCCACGTCCGACTTCCTCTCTCCTCCCAGCTTTGCACAAGGATTTGTCCAGGGCAAAAAAAAAAAAGTTTGTGGCCCGGATTGAACTATCCCGCGGGTTTCTCGGCAGCCGCCGCCGGAGGGCGTCCGGGCGCTGCCCACGGGTCCCTCGGTCTAGGGCTGCAGGACACACCCTGGAATGAGTGCGAGAAGGTGGGCTTCTCCTCGGAGCAGGAGTCCCCTAGCGCATTGCTAACTCTGGGTTCTTTGGCCTGGTCTCTCCTGAATGTCTGGGTCTGTGGCTATTTTGTTGGTCTCTCTGTTTCCTAATCATTTTGTATCTCTTGCTCTAGTTTCTTCCAGATCCCACTGGTTATCTGCCTATACACTGAATTCTATCTGCAAAACTTTGTGTGCTTCTGTGATTCTGCATAACTTTATCTATTTCTGTGACTTTGTGTGTCTCAGGTCCAGCCTCTGTATTTCTGACTTGAGTGTGCCTCAGCATGTCCACTCATGCATGTTTCTGTGACCCTTGATGAGGTTCCTTCCTGCCAGTCTGCATTTCTTTCATATTGTGTGCCTCTCCTCTCTCTTTTTTGTCTGAATGTCTGATGTTCATTTACACTCCTTTAGTGAGAAATAATTCAACAGATGCCCCCAAACCCTTACTGGTACTATTAGAAAAACTGAATAGCCAGTGAGAGTGGACACTGCCCCGAGACAAGACAAGACAGAAAAGCGATGACCAAAGTTTTATGTAATCTGAGCCCCAAAGACCACCACGCTGTACACCGGGGAGGAGGGACTGGCTCAAGGGGGCAGCACGGCCCAGAAGTAGGGAGATGGCCCATCCCTTGGGGAAAAGGAAGGCCTCCCTAATGCATTGCACAGGCTGGGGGTGGGAGATGGGGGACCTCCCCCACGGGAGGGCAGGGGAAGTGCAGTAAGTGCCAAAGAAGGGTAGGAGTGTGCAGAAGCACTCTAATGAGATCAGAACCTTGAACTCGTACCTAATATACTAGACTTGACTTTGCAAGTCAGAGAACGTGTGGCTCTCAGAACTACAGTCCCTGGAACTTTTAACATTTTAGACCTGGACAATACTCCCAGGAAGGCAGAATGCACATGGAATCTAGAGGTGTCCGACATTAGAAAGAATTAGAACTTTGGTATCTAGTTAGTCACAACTAACTCTTGTACCTCGAGATTTTAGGATCCTGAATCTCGGACCAGCAGGCTGCACAGTGCCTCGAGACACAGGAGGGACCAACATCAGAACCCCAGGAGTTAATAACCCAGCATCTAGGAGCGTACAATCCAGGCTCTTAGGTTCTGAGACTAAGTCACAGAATGTCTTCTCTCAGGACCTTCGCCCGCAAACTTTGCGCCTTTAGAACTTTTGAACTGCAGCTTCTGGAATTGCAGACACATAGGCTCTAAAATCTCACAGAATTTAGGAACCCAGAGCCTGCAACATGGAGTACCACTATTAGGATTATAACCTTTGCCAAGACAAAGTTTTGAAGCTGCAGGATCTAGACACTTGTGACTAGAGGATTTAGATTCAAAAGCCTGGGGATGTCTGATTTCTAGAACTGAGGAGGCCTTACCTCACTCATGTCTAGAATCAAAGACTTTACACACACACACGCCAAGGACTCATCCCTAGAACAGTACAATCTGGAATCAGAGCTCTAGGACCCAACCCCCTGAGGCCTTCTCAGGGATCTTTGGACCAGATAATCAAGAACCACGAAGCCTCAGAGCCTGGAACCTTCTTTGCTGAGAACTTCAATGCTTCCGAGTCAGACAGGTTGGGATTCCGGGTCCTCAGACCCAGCTACTCAGAGCATCTCTGAAACCCAGGGCCTCCTTCATCCTGAGGGCGCAGACCTGGGAGTCCCTCAGAGATGGCAGTCCAGCCCCTTCCTGGTACCCATGGGGATGCTGTGGTGTGGAGACGGCAAGGATCTGTGTGGGATGCAGGTGGAACGGGCAGGAAGACGGGGCAGCACGGGGACAGGCCCAGGCTGGGGCAGTGGGGAATGGGATTCCCCTAGTGGCAGTGCCTAGCTTGGATCCTGAGAGGAAGTTCCGGGTGGAGGGTCGTCTCAGGATGCATCCTCCTGCCCCGGGGGTGTCTGGGAACACCAGTCACCGGCAGGTGGAGCAGGGCCAGGGGCCGTGGAAGGGCAGAGGACATAGCGGCCAGCAGGATGGACCTCGGCTGCCGTCAGGCAACTACAGGACTCCTTGGGGTCCGGTTGGGCTTGCAGCTCTGCTCCTCCGGCAGCCCCACAGGGTTCAGGGGGTCCGCTGCCCTCATCCATGTTGACATAGAGGATTTCGTCAGGTTCCTGGGCAGGGGGCAGGGCCTTCAGTGCATTCTCCAGGTCTTCCCGCAGCTCTGCGAAACTCGGCCGGTCCCGAGGGTTCAGCTCCCAGCACCGGGACATCAGAGCATACCTAGGGCAGCCAAGGGAGGAGTGGATCCTGAGAGAGAGCACTCTGGCAGAATGGGGACACCATATGACACACGGGGAGAGCTGGGAGCATTTCAGGGCGCAGGAGGGAGACTCGGCTACTGTGGGAGAACCTACAGAGTTGTGGGCATTCTGGAGGGGTCCTGTAAGACCTGCGCTGTGGGCAGTCTTGGGATGGGCTAGAGCGGAGCGCCCCCTAAGTGTCCCTGCAGGTGACCCACCAGAAGCCTGGCCCTGCCACCTCTCACAGTGCTTACTTACAAAATACCTCAATTCAAAAGATGAACACATCCCACATGGGCAGGGCTCAGTGGGACTGGCCGCTGGCTCAGTAGAAGCCAGTGCGTGTGATTTTCCAGACCCGCTCGGCAAAGGCGCTATGGCTTCCTGCCTGCACCTGCCCAGGGTCGCCATGTGGGAAGGGAGCTTGGGCAGCACTCCGGAGGGGTCCTTGTGCCAAGGGATCAGGGCCTTGGCCCCCACCCCTGTCAAAGTGGCCACGTGGCCCCAGCTGGCTTACTGAGAGACCCTGAGGCAGGATCGTTCCCCAGACTCTGGCTGTCAAACGTTATGTTCAAGTCTGTTATGTTAAGGCTATTTGCATGGGACTGGCAGTTTATGGCACGGAGGGTTAAGGCACCGCCTGCAACACCAGCATCCCATATAAGTGTCAGTTCAAGTCCCAGCTGCTCTACTTCTGATCCAGCTTCCTGCTAATGTGCCTGGGAAAGCAGCAAGTGATGGCCCAAGTGCTGGGTTTCCTGTCATCCACATGTGAGACCTGGACAAAGCTCCTCGCTCCTGACTAGGGCCTAGCCTAACCCTGGCTAGGAATGCATCTAAGGACTGCATCTGTGATTGAAGAGATATCTCGCTCTCTCTCCTCTCTCTTCTCTCTCTTTCTCTCTCCCTCTCAAGATTTATTTTTATTTATTTTAAAAAGTTACAGAGAGAGACAGAGAGAGAGAAAGGCTATTAAATTTGGAGGTTACTAGAGCACCAGCTTTGCAGTCAGCTCGGGCAAGTGACTGAGCCTCAGTTTTCACATCTGCTAAATGGGAGCAGAGGATGCGCTCTGGCTCCCTCCTGTGGATGTGGTGAGGAACAGATGATTTCAGGCACACAGAATCTCTGAAACAGAGCCTACCAGTAAGTTCTAGAAAAACCCAATGGGGACCTGGCCAGCCTGAAGCCCCAGGCCGTCTCCTCTGGATATAAGCAGCTTCCTGTTTACCCTTCAAGTGCAGGCTACATGCGGCGCCTTCCTGTGCCCACTGTGCAATACTGCAAAGGCTGATGGACATATCCTGAGAGGGCTTGCAAACATATCAGAGGGGACCTGGGAGCCTGAAACAGTTGGGACCACAAACCCTGCTTTGTCCCAGGTGTCAGGGAGGACCTGGGAGAAGCATGGGGTGCTCAGGAGGCCCCGATGAATTAGCACCCAGGGGGCAGAGGGTGGGAGCTCCAGAGGCAGGGCTGCTGGGGGAGGCCACGCAGCTGTGGGGCCCAACCAGCCCACTCGCCCCACAAATCCTGCGTGCCCCACATTGGTTACATTGCTCTCTGCTGCCCACCAGCAGTCCTGCCAGAGGCAGCAGTGGTAAGGGACAGGAGGACCTCACCACATGCTGGGCACCACACCCAGGTCTGCAGGTCCTAGGGCTCCAGGGCACCGTGGGAGTGCTCGGGGTATAGGAAATGCATTGAAAGGGGCCCGGGGGTGGCAAGGGGCCTCACAGTCCATCCAGACAGTCCGCGGGCTGTTTCAGGCGGTGTCCCTGGCGCAGGTAGTCGTAGATCTCGCTGTTCTCCACGCCGGGGTATGGCGTTTGGCCCCGTGTGGCAATCTCCCACATGGTCACTCCGAAGGACCACTGTGGGAGGCACAGAGGGAGGGGGTGTCAGAGGGGCTCTGCAGCACAGGGCCCCCCAACCTGCAGGCTCACGGACATAGCACAGACGCCCCTCTCCTTACCCCCATAGGCTCAAAGGTCTAGCCACACACCCCTTCCATAAACATGTTCTTAACCCCCTCTGGGTGCATCACAAGTATTTCTAGAAATGCACACACACACACACACACACACACACACACGTGATTTTTACAGATGCACAGACATGCTAACCCAGGAACCCACATGCACGCTCCCTCACCGTGATCTCACAGCTTGCTGTACATACTGCACAGGTGCAGGCTCACAGAGGTCTGGTCACTGCTACTCCTCCTGATCTGTACAACCCCCACCGCCATGCACACGGGCACCCACGTGTATCCCTTGTGTACACATACCACCATTCTCAGACACTGCTCACACACAGGCCCACCCATGGCGACAGGCCCCCTAGGAACCCTGCACCCACAGCTGCCCAGCATACCACATCGCTCTTGCTGGTGTAGACGCGGTCAGCCAGGCTCTCAATCGCGATCCACTTGACGGGCATCTTGGCAATGCGGCCCTGGCGGTAGTAATCCCCGTTGTAGATCTTCTTGGAGAGCCCGAAGTCGGCCACGCACACTGACATGTTCTCATTCAGCCTGCGGGGATCGGGGAGAGGAGCAGAGTCAGGGCATTAGCTGCCTCCGCCAGGAAGCCCACCCTGGCTCTATTAGCTGCCTCCACCAGGAAGCCCACCCTGGCTCTATTAGCTGCCTCCACCAGGAAGCCCACCCTGGCTCTTCTCCACAGTCCCATGTTGGGGTGGGCTTCTCTCCCCTGCACACTTGCCCTAGGAGGAACTGCTTTATTTCTTGTTTCCTTGCAAGCCTGCCCAGCTCTGGCTATCCGCCAGATTCTAAGGTCCTTCTGAGGTCCCTGACTTGCAAAGTTTCTTCTCGGTGGATGGTAGACAAACGACAGGCACACACCGTCCAGGAGTGGCTCCCTGCACGCCCACAAACACACCCGTGTACCACATTAAGAAGCAACATCCACAGCTAGGTGGATGAAGCTGCTTCCTGAGACCCCTGCAGCCCACACCCCAGGGCCCGATCCCAGTTCCTGCCAAGGCCCACTCTGGGAGGCAGAGGGAATTTTGTCCCTGTCACCCAGTTGGGAGAAGCAGATGGAATTCCCAGCTCCTGGTTTCAGCCTGTCCCAGCCTCTGTCGTTGCAGGCTTTAGGGAATGAACCAGAGGATGGGAGAGCTCTCTCTTTCTCTCTCTAAATATTTATCTTTATTTTTACTTAAAGGGCAGAGTGATACACATATAGAAAGACACACACACAGAGATACAAAAAGAGACAGCCTGGAATTCCATTCAGATCTCCCACCTGGGTGACAGTGGCCCAAGCACTTGGGCCATCTCATGTTGCTTTCCAAGGAGCTGGATCGGACATGGAGCAGCCACGACTTGACCCAGCACTCTGTCTGCTTTAACCTGTCATAACACTGGGCCATGCCTTTCAAGTAAATTACAATAAAATTTAAGGCAAGAACACCCATAGAACATTCCTACAGTAGAATACTGCACAGCAGAGAATAAGAAACGCTCCTGATAAGGCATGCCAATGTGCAGTCACCTCAGAAACATCCCACTAGCCAGAGAACCCTAGCCTAGGCAGTATAGGTTGCATGAGTTGCAGACAGATGATCTTTAAGAACGGGTGAGGTCCAAGGCTGTGGAGAAGGCAGAATAGTTAGCAGTGCCTGGCAGCGGAGACTAAAAAAGATTCAAGGAGCTTGCTGGAGTTTAGAAAGTTGCCTTTTCCCCCATTTTATTTGAAAGACAGAGAGAGAGAGATTGAGAAAGAGAATTTGCCATCTGTTGATTCACTCCTAACCTATGCAGGGCTGGGTTAGGTCAAAGCCAGGAATCAGGAACTCAACCCGTATTTCTCATGTGGATGGCAGGGACCCAAGCGCTCGAGTCACCACCTGCACCCTCCCAGGGCACACTAGTAGAAAACTAGGATCAAAACGGAGACGGGACTCGCAATGAGCATTCTGATTTGTGGGGGTTCCAAGTAGCATACTGCCCAAGGCCCAAGCACCTGCCCCAGAAATATTCCTCCTTTTGACTTCTTTGTGGTTGCAGCAGTCTACACATGTAACAATTGGCTGAGCTACACACGTATGTGTTCTAGTGCCCAATTTGAGAAATATAAACGCTACTCTCCTTGGAGAACCACTGTTGCTACTGCAGTCGGCCCCATGAGCACCGTGGAATGAAGCGAGGCTGTATGGCACGCTCCTGCCATTGGCTCTTGGATGATGGGTGGTGTATTTATGCATCCATCGTGTCTACAAAACTCCCACCTGTGTGCATCTGTGGACACAGATTGTGTCCATCTACTGGAGGTTCCTGCAGGTGTTCTGAGCACCTGTAAGACAGGCAGGGCTAAGCCACGATGACTGGCCATTTGGATGGAGCCAGGGCATGCTCAAATTTTCACTTTAAGATGGGTTTATCAAGACGTAATCCCGTTGTTCAGCGGAGGGGCACCTGTGCGATCCTAAGATTCCCTGGCAGGCAGGGGAGGAGAGGCGCTCAGACATCTGGCGTGCTGGCCGCAGGATCGGTAGCAGGCTCGGGGTAGCGGCCCATAGCCAGCCGGCAAGGAAGTGTTTCAACAGACTAACAATTAAGCCAAAGTTACTCGATGCTTAGTAGTCGCTATGCTCTAAACAGGCTGTGAAGGAGCCGGCATTTAGCCTACTGGTTAAATCCCACTCGGCTGGATTCCTGGTTCTGGCTCCTGATTCTGCCTTCCTCCCAATTCAGATGCTGCGAGGCAGTGGTGCTGGCTCCAAGAATTGGGTTCCTAGGCCCAGCGCGATAGCCTAGTGGCTAAAATCCTCGCCTTATATGCACCGCTGGGATTCCATATGAGTGCCGGTTTATATCCCAGCTGCTCCACTTCCCATCCAGCTCCCTGGAAAGCAGCCAAGGACGGTCCAAAGCCTTGGGACCCTGCACCCGCGTGAGAGACTTGGAAGAAGCTCTTGGCTCCTGGCTTTGGATTGGCTCAGTTTTCGCCGTTGTGGCCACTTGGGGAGTGAACCAGTGGATGGGAAATCTTTGTCTCTGTCTCTCCTTCTCTCTGTAAATCTGGTTTTTCAATAAAAATAATAAATCTTAAAAAAAAAAATTGGGTTCCTATCACCCATGTGGGGAACTGGACTGCATTTCCAGCTTCAGTCCCTGACTTCCCCAGGCCATTGTTGACTTTGGGAGAAGTGAAACAGTGGATGGGACTTCTGATTCTCTCCCTTTGTCCCAAATAAATTTTAAAAACCCAAAAACTATAAACAGCTATTTGTCAGTCATAGATTGATACTTCTAAGATGGGGGAAAAAATCCAACTGTGGCGATTAGAGGTGGGGCCTGCTGGGAGGTGGTTCTGGCGAGGGAGGGATTAGCTGTAAAACCTGCACTGGGCTCAGCTGCTCTGTCTGCTTCCTGGATCACAGGATGACTGTTCCTTCACATTCATTCCGCCACCACTGTTCTCTGGCCTCCCCAGTGAACCAACAAGGCCTCCCATTTGTGCGCTTTGGGCCTCCAAAACCACACGCTGGAATCAACCTTCCTTCCTTCATGAGTGACTTGTCTCAGGGACTTGGCTGCAGCGACGGAACGCTGAACAGTACAGCCGTTGACCGTCTATCCTGAACCTCAGGGTCTATGTGACACTGGGGGACTTGAATCGCCAGCGTCACAGCAATCAAGGGAGCTCTGCTGTTATCAGTTGCTTCAAGTTTTTGGGTTTTTGGGGGGTTTTTTTGGGTCTTCATTTTACTTATTTGGAAGACAGAGTTACATCTGCTAGTTCACTTCCCAAATGGCTAAGAGCAGGGCAAAACCAAAGCTGGTAACCAGAAGCTTCTTATGACTTTATCAGGTGGGTCCAGGGGCCCAAGTAATTGGGCTATCCTCTACTGTTTTCCCAGGCCATCAGATGGGAGCTGGATGAGAAGTGGAGTAACCAGGACACTGGGATGCCGGCATTACAAGCTTAACCTGCTATACCACAATGCCAGACCCACTTCAAGTCTTTAGGTCTACCTTCTACCTTACAGGAAATACAGGGGACAGAGGAACAAGGTAGATGCCAACACAAGCAAATGGATCCATCTTGAACCTGTCTGGGTATTCACTGCATAATCTTTGCAACTTTTCATAGTTAAAAGTGGCAGGGGGGAGGGGAAGGAATATCTATTTTCAGATTCACAGCTCTCCGGAGTTGTGAACATGAACACACCTTGTCAAATGGTTGGTTTTTCTGCTACCTAATCTCTATGTGGCTGAAGTTGAAATGAGCCTAATATTCTAAGCCTGTGGTCCTGCCCCATCCTACCGCTCCCCTGGGCTGCTGTTCAGGGCTATTTTCTGCTGATCCAGCGGTGAACAGCCAGCCCTTCTTACCCACTGCGGCCTCAAACTGGTCACCTCTGCCCCTTGGCTCACCTCATGCTGCACATTGAACCTCCCCTCTCCCCACCTTCTCTCTTTGAATCCAAACGTTGTTCCAGATGTTGGTCCAGGATCTCCTCTGCTAGAAATCCTTCCCAGACTCCCTTGCTGCACTTCCTATCCCAGTCCTGGCTTCCGACTGCCCTGAGGGGCATGCCCAGTCCGCCTTGCAGCGTGGCTTGACACTCACATGCAATTCCTGGCAGCCAGGTCCCGGTGGATGAAGCGTTTAGTACTCAGGTACTCCATGCCACTGGCGATGTCGGCCATGAACTTCACCAGCATCTGCGTGGGGAGGAACTGCAGGGCCGGGGCAGCAGGGAGAACAGAGCTGAGCAAAGTCCCTGTGGTCCCTGTGGTCCCTGCCTCCTCCTTCCCTTTCCTGGACACACCTGTCACTGCGTATTCTATTTCCATGGTCCCATGAATAAAACCCACCACTCTCCACAACCCCCAATGCCCCTTCCTCTGTGTCTTCAAATCCCACTCTCCTTGCCCTTGACAGACATCCAGCTGGGACCTCTGTTCTGGAATACAGACAACCCATGCTTGTTCCCACCTCATGAGGGCATCCCAATCTCGCCAATGACTGGGCAACATGGAGTGCCCAGTGGCTGTTCACAAAATGCTGCCGTATAGGACAATGAAGCAGCCCTCACCATGGGCTGGTCCCCGAGCCGTGAGTAGAGGAGGAAGCTGTGGAGGTCTCCATGTTTCATGAATGGTAAGATGACCACAGGGGCCGGAAAGCCTTCTCGTTCGGAACCCTGGAAACAGACGCCTGGGTCCCCCACCACCAGGGCAGCCCTGTCACTCGGCTGGGCAGAAAGGGAGGCCGGCAACCCCCTCTCCCAGCCTGACTCTTGCCTCTGCTGCTCACTCTGGCCAAGTCTCGCCCCCGTGTTGTGCAGGGACACATGGGGACAGGGGGCGAGGAGCAGGGAAGGATGCAGTTTTAGAAATGCCACTTCCAGTAAGTTCCCAGGGACGTTTCGGGATCCCTCCTGGGGACCTCTGGCTATTTCTGGAAAGGGTCAGAGGTTGCATTCCAAGGCGAAAGAGCCAAGGGAGGGGGAGCTTGCTGACCCTGGGGGAGTGGGGAGCCAGAGACTTGGGGATTTGAGTTCCTCAGTGTTGTAGTTGTGGGGGCCCATTGGATCCCTCCCCACTCACCAAGGAGCCTCATGACGTTGGGGTGGTCAAATTCCTTCATGCACACAGCTTCACTCAGGAAGTCCTCCAGTTCCGACCTCGTGCAGATCGCAACTTGGGGCGGGGAGGAAAATGGGTGAGCACGGGAGGCTGGGCAGGAGGACTCCTCCCTCCCAACGTCCATCTCCGTGTTCATCAAAGCCGAGGATGTGGGGCTCGGTGCAGCATGTACACGAGGTGTGACCATGGTCATTCTCACTCTATTCAATTTAGAAGTTGACTTTATTTGAAAAGCAAAGTGAAGAAGAGAGACACAAACCAATCATCTTAGCACTAATTCACTGCCTAAATGGCAGCAATGGCCAGGGCTGTACCAGGCTGAAGCCACAAGCCACTCCACCCACTTTACCCCCACAAGCCTAAGCACTTGGGCCATCTTCTATTTTCCCAGGAGCGTGAGCAGGGAGCCAGACAGGCATCCCATATGGGAGTCAGGTTTGAGTTCTGGCTGCTCCATTTCTCATCCAGCTCCCTGCTAACACCCCTGGAAAAACCAGCAGAAGATGACCCAGTATTTGGGCATCTCCCACCCACAGAGGAGACCTGGAGTTCTTTGGCTTCAGCTTGGACCAGCTCCAGCCATGTTGGGCCACTTGGACAGAATGTCAGCAGATGGAAGGTCTCTTTCCCTCTCTCTGTCACTCTGCCTTTCAAGTAAATAATTATCTTTTTTCTTTCTTTCTTTCTGTGTGAACATAAGCCGGGACACAGGAAGTGCTCGGTGCAGAATGCATGAGCAAGCAGAAACAACTCCGTAGTCCAGGCTTTCACCCCTATAATTCAGGAAGGAGCAATTTCTCCCCACCCCGCAACCGAACTCCAGCCCCAGCCTGACCCTCCATTCTTCGCCTTCTCTGCATGAAAAGGACTTGGCGCTGGACTCCCTATGCTATGTGGTCCTGGGTAGCCTCCCTACCTCCAACCCTCCCCAGTCTGGTGATACAAAGAGCTGTAGATTAACAACAAGGACTCCCTTCACCTCTGGCACCTATTGCTATATCTCACACAGCCCCAGGAGGTAGGGACATCCTGAGCCACCCTTTGAGGGGATGGGAAGGAAGTTCAGAGAGAGTCACTCCAGGCACGCCTCATTCTAGATCTTCCCTGTGTGGCTCTCTGAGGGCAGAGACGTGTCCTTGAACACTACATTTCCCAGGCTCCTTTCCCTACTGATTTCCTCCAGGGGTTTGCCAAGCAGAGTGGCCAGAGGTAGGAGGAGGCAAGTTTTGTTTTTTGTTTGTTTGTTTGTTTTTTACCTTCTCTCTGCCTTCACAGTGCCCTGTGCTTCTAGCCCCCACAGACAGCTCCTAACTCTGTGGTCCCAACTTCTACCAGGCATCCCTGATCATGGCTCTGATGGCAGCACTTCCTCCCTCTACTGTTCTCGGCCTAGGGTGGAAGTGATTTCCTGTGTCCTGCCTCCTCCTGTGCAATTAACTCCTTTATTCAATTCCTCCTGTTCAAGAACCTCACTTGGCTCCCTTTTCTGTTGGCTAATACCAAGGTTCTACCCTGTGGCCATTTTACCACTGTCTTTTCTCTCCCCTCTCTTCCTGGGGCTGGGGTCCCCCACGTGCACATGCACAAGCAGACTCACTCTTCATCGTCTTCACAGCCACCTTGAGGACTGAGTCATCCTGGTTGAGCTGACCTTCCATCACAGCTCCAAACTCCCCTGTACAGGGCCCAAGGAAGACTTTGGCATCAGGCATCCCCACCCCCTCTGCCCAGGGACCCTGTTTCCTACTGTCAGGTATAGGCAAAGATGGATGTGGGTGGGTGCATGGGTAGGCTGGGAGCCTCACCTTCTCCCAGAGTCTTGCCCAGGGCCACCTTGTGTCGGTCCACCATCACATCCCGTAGTTTCTCCTTCAACTCTTCACTGATGCCCAGGCTGTTCACTGTGTGAGGGATGGACAGAACCATGGAGCAGGGCTGCTGTCCTCAAAGGAGGTACCCCGGTAGGACTGCACCCACCATGGAAATACTGGCTGTTTTTCCACTGCTTCCATATCCCACACTGCCCTGAGCACCTCCCTACCCCACTCCCCGTGCCAGCTTCTGCCTCCCACCAAGCATGACTTTGCTCCAGTGGGCACCCTGACGGTCAGTGCGCTGCTGCACTAGTCATTAAAAAGTTATTTCCGTTTTCACGGAGGTGTACCTTGCACAAATTATGCATGAGCCACACAATGGGTTTTCAGGAACCAAACATAACTGTGTAACCAGCGGCGGGGGCAAGAACAAGACACAACCTGCCCCTCGCTGACTTATCCTAACAATGGATTACTAGGGCTTTCTCTGTCTGTAAGTGCTACAGCAACAGAAATCACCTAGAAGATTGCCTTTGTTGTGTATCTGGCATCTTTCACCCAGCATTAGACCTAGTCGAGGCAACATAATCACTGTGTGTGGTTATAATTTATTGTTTTCATGTAACAATTCTCAGGGCTTCTTTACCGCAAACAGCTGTTTATGTGGCTGTGTGTTTACATCAATGTTTCTGGCATCCGAAGGAGAAACGGACAGTTTTAAAACGACATAGACATAAGCACACACCCTGTCAGTCCACAGGGACCCGGGTGACATCATCACAGGCCAAGGGAGTTTCTAGAAAACTCTACTGAATGTTCGTGACAGTGCAAAAATGACATGTTGGTATTCTGGTGACAGTAGTTTTGACCTCAGGGACCCCTGACAAAAGGTCTCAGGGACCCCAGGGGACCCAGATCACACCCCGAGTGAGAACTGCCACTGTTGGCTATTGCACAAGGTTGCTGTGACCTCCCTGTCACTGTTCCTTCTCTTACTGAAATGTCTTTCCCAGCCCTTCCCAAACACCCCCTGGGGCCCTGGCCACTTGCTCCCTGTGTGCTAGCAGGACCTTGCACTGTCCGTTTTCTCTCTTGACTTCAATTTCCCCAGATGGAAAGATGAAGCTGTTTGACAGGGTGGCCTCCAAGACCAGCCTCCACTGGGACTTTCACAACTCCACAGACTCCCAGCAGAGTCTGCAACTGTATAAGATTTTTTGATTTTCAGCATCGCCAGGGCATAGAGTACTGAGCTGGTCATCTGTCAGGCCAAGGTCAATTCTATCCCTTGAACATTTTGAATTCCCAGAGGCAGCAGTTTACGGACGGACATCTGCAGCAGTGGCTAACACAGACACATCCCGAAGTGGGATGCCACACAAAAACAAAACAAACAAAGAATCCAACCAAATAGGAGTGGCCAGGTTCATATTTAGCTTCCTGCTGCTGCACATCTGGGGATGATGGCCCTGGTGCTTGGGTTCCTGCCACCCACAGTAGGAGACTTAGCCTGAGTTCCAGGCTTCTGGCTCTGATGGGGCTCAGCCTTGACCTTTGCAGACATATAGGGGGTGAACCAGCAGATGGGAGAGCTTGGTCGCTCTCTGTCTTTCCAATCAAAATCATGTAGAGCATAGTCTAAGTCTTGAAAGCTGTGTGTCAGTTGCTTCACCCTTTTCTGCCACAACTTCTTCAACCCGATTGCTGACAGGGGATAACTCATCCCCACCTGTGGGGCTCAGGTGACAGGGGTGGAAGGTGTAGAGCTTAGGTTAATACCACAAGTGCCAGGACTTGCTGTCATCTCATCTCTCATGGCCCGAACGTCTCATCACCAACCCTGTCATCATTTCCACCTTCTCCATTGCCACCATCACCATCATCATTATCACCACCAACACTGCATTGTTCCAAGATTGAGTGTAAGTGTTCCCTGGACTTCCTGTGTCTGACCCTCTACCATTCTAAAGTTCTGTGCGGTTCCACAATTTTCTGGGGCTTGTGAGTCTAATTTGCTAGTATTTCCTGCATCTACAGAAGCCCAGCAGGCCCAATTCTCCATACGAGTGACTCCCCAGACCAGGACAGGGAGCCATGTAAGGGGAGAGGGGGTTCACTTACAGGTAGCTTCTGTAGTCCGGCGACTGTAGGATTTACGGACACGATATCTGACCACCAGTTCACCCCGCTCCACTGTTGGCTCAAACACCTCTCTGGGGGCACAGGAGAGAAGATGAAAGCAGAGAAGAGCTGTATGCATCGTCCCAGCACCCTGTCCTGCCTGCCCCCTCCTCCACCGCGGTTCAGCAGGCCTCAGGCTGCTCCCTTCCCCCTTGCATTTGTTTCCCAGATGCCCTTGGTCTTCTCCTTGCTCTGACCACCTCTCCTTCTGCACAGCCTCTCCGTCCCAGGCTGCATAAGACTCCCCAGCTCACCCGTAACGAGTCTCCTTCTTCCGCTGGTGCATGAAGAAGAGGGCCAGGATGAGAACGCAAGCAGCAGCCACCACTGCCCCCAACAGCACATACCACCAGGGCCACGAGAAGGCGGGAGCTGGGGGCTCACTCACTGTTGGGGAGTAGAGGGGACAAATCATGGCAGACACCCTGGACTCCGCTCCCTGTGAGCCCTCCCCTCCAGGGGATGATGTGGGAAGCGGGGATGAGGTAAAGGTGTTGATGTGTTTGGTGAGGAGAGGTATGATGGTGTATCCAAGGACACTGGACAGGGTTGGCAGGACACACAACACGTGTGATAGGAGTGTGACAGTACAAGGTGCCTCAGGCTTGTAGGAGATGTAAATGAAGTTACACTGTTGTGGTGCAGCACATTAAATGGCTGCTTGTAAAAACCCACATGCCATATCAGAGTGCTGGTTTGAGTCTGTGCTACTCTGCTTCTGATCCAGCTCCCAGCTGCCTGAGAGAACAGCAGAAGATGGCCCGGATGCCTGGGGTCCCTGCCACCCATGTGGGAGACCTAAGTGGAGTTCCTGACTCCTAGCTTCAGCCTGGCCCAGACCTAGCTGTTTGTGCCCATTTGGGGAGTGAGCCTGCAGATGGAAGATTTCTTTGGCTCCCTGTCTTCCAAGTAAATACATCAATCTTTGGAAGGTGGGGCGAGTATTTGATGTTTGTGTAGCAAACGGATCATGAGAGGAAGACACTTGCAGAATGGCCATCAGTGTGCAAGGGACACAGGAGAAGATGGGATGGGTGGGGATAAAATTCAAGTAGGGTAAGTATGAGCGATAATTGTGCAGACAGAAGAACTGAGTGTGGGTCCAAAGCGTGTCCTTGAGGAGTGTGCAACGCTTATAAAAAAGGCATTCTTTTTAAGAAGGGCTTATTTATTTTTATCTTCCTGAAAGGCAGAGAGAGATCGATCTTGCATCTATTGGTTTACTTCATAAATGCCCATTATAGGCAAGGTTGAAGCCAAGAAGCTGAAACTCCACCTGGGTTCCCCAGATGGGAAGCAGGACTGCTACATCCTTGAGCCTGCCCCTTCTGCCTCCCCGGACGCCTCAGCAGGAAGCTGAATCAGAAGCAGGGAGGCCAGGACTGGAACGGGCACTCTGATAAGGACTGAGGGTATCTCAAGTGGTGACTGTACCCGCCATGCCATAGCATCCACGCCTGAAAGTGTCTTCCCATGTAAGGAAGAGGGTGGGATCACTGTGCAGGGGGCATGGTGGGTGTCCACAAGCTGGGGCTGCCGTGTATGGGGGTGAGTTTTACGTAGATCTGAAGGATGGAACTTCCTGGTGAGAGGTGTTTGCAGTGACCAGGTAACCGATGTGATACGGGCAGGTTGGGGTATAGGAGTGATGGAGGGACAGACTGTGGGATGGGTTAGGATAGGCGAGGGTGAGAGATGGTGTGTGAGGGGCGTGCAAGGGGAGTCGTAGGGTTTATGGTATTGTCTGTGATGGGGGGATGTGTGATGAATGTGCACGTGGTGTGCAAGGCCTGAGTGAGAACTCTGTGTGTGTGTGTGTGTGCGCACATGTGTGCATGCGTGCCACAGGTTTGGGAGGTACGCATGAGGAATGCAGAATGGCAACGGGATGTGCATGACAAGAGGGTGGAGTAAATGTGAAAGCATATAGGAAAGCATAGGAGTTGAGAATTCTGGTTGAGTTATAAGAGATGGACTGAAATAGTGGTAGAAGGGTACAGCGGGTGGAGCAGCAATGTTTGATTAGTGTTGGGGAACTACTTGAGAGGCACAGATGTGAAGACGTTTCCTCATCATGGACCCATTAACCCATCCACCCATCTATTCACCTATCCATATATCCCTCTATCCATCCACCCTCCACTACCCATCTATCCATCCACCTACCCACCCATTCATATCTGCATCCACCCCTTCCTCCATCCATCCATCCATCCATCCATCCATCCATCCACCCATCCACCGACTCACCCACTCACTGACCATTCATGTGCCTATGCTGGGCTGTTCCAAGCACCTCTACCAAGGACCACCCAAACCCAAGAAATGGTGGAGAACAGTGGTAAGTCTGAGAAACACGAAGAGGACGAGCACATGGTGCGCGCTAATGGGTGTGGAGGGGAAGAAGGGAGAAGAGGAGATGCCAACGCCCTTACCCAGCTGGTGGACTGGCTGTCCTTGCCCTGTGAGGAGAAGGGACAGAGAGGAGACATGCTCAGAGTGGGGCAAGGGTGGTGTGGCCCAGGGGAAGGAGTGAGAGAGGCCCCCAGGAACAGAGGTACAGCGCACAAGCCAGGGGTGGCAGCCAGGGGCCAGGGTAGCTGCAGGCAATGGGGTGAACCATGGCCTTGGGGTTACCTGGGCGCCAGGGCTCCAAGGGCACAGGGAGGCTCCAGGGACCGTCCCCAGCTGCAGTGTAGGCCGCCACACACACCGTCAGGTTGGGCACAGGCACGTCCCTCCGCAGCTCCAGGGTCACTTCTTGCCTGAGACCTATGTCCAAAAGCACCTGGGGGTCCAGAGGAGCACAAGCATAGGTCCCCAGGCTCCTAACTCAAGCCTCCGACCTCGGTCTCACCCCTGCCACTGCCCCCTTCCCCTCTCCTCCACCAGCTTTCCCTCTCCCAGTGGGAGAAACCACCCCAGAGCAGGGACCCCATCTTGTCTTGCTCCCTGCAGAATCTCTACTAACGCTTCAGCACAGTGCTGGGCACAAGGCACTGCTCTGGCTGAATAACCGGTCTCACTTCTCATGTTGAACTCTCCAGCCTCTTCTAACTTCCCACCCACCCTGTGAGCCCATGGAGTACCTCGGCGTACATCAAAAAACCCATCCTTCCCCCCTCCTCAAGATGTTCCCTGGCTATCTGCAACGTGTCACAGACAGCAGGCATTACTCAAACACTGGTTTACAGAGAAGCATCCCTACCCACCACCACCCCGGTTCCCCAGAAGGTGGTCCCTGGGGTGTGAGTGATCGTGTATCACCCAACCAGTACTACTGCCCATGTCTGTCATGTTCCCTTTGCCATCCTACCCCACCCCCGCCAGCAGCACCCACCTCAGGGGTGTCCTGGCTTCGATACGCCAACCGGTACCCCAACAGGGTACCCTGCAGGGGTGCCCTTGGTTCTTGCCAACGCACGAGAGCCTGGCTTCCATTCCGCACGGCGCTAATGTTCTCGGGTGGCCCCAGGGGCACTGGGGGATAGGGAAGAGGGGAAGCTGGCACCCCTGCTGCTTCCTGATTCCGCTCCCCTGTTCCCAGGAAGTGGGGATGGGGTACAAAGGGCACGCAGGGGCAACACTGCAGGACCTCCCATGAGCAGAAGCACGGGACACTATGAGGCTGAGGGACGTGATGAGGGAAAGACAGGCCATGTGTCAGGGCTGGAGCAGGGGGAGGGGGCGAGGGGCGAGGGGCGAGGGGCGATGTTGCAGGTGTCCCAGATGCAAGCAAGCTCCAGTGGGGCATGGGCAGCGTCTGCCTCCCCAGGCCAGATTACCTCCCTCTGTCGTCTCCACAGGGAGCCAGTGGGTCCAGGGAGAGGGACCCTGGCTGCTGGTGCATGACACCCGGATGTGGTAAGAGGTGTGAGGATGAAGGCTGCCCAGACGAAGCTGGTGAGGGGGCACGGCTGCTTGCAAGTTGAGGGGCTCCTCTGGGGGCTCTAGCTCGCCTGGCCAGATGCCCACCCCATCGTCTGACAGCACCGCCTGGGGAGAGAGGGAAGGACATGAGGACAGCACAAGGTGGTCACAACAGGAGGACTTCCCCAGCTTTGTCTGTGTGCAAGTGTGTGCGCAGGTCCGTTCTGAGACAACACAGGCAGCAGATTGTCAAAGCAAGGAGATGACAGGCCATGCCATATGGCTGTGTCACTGCTTACAAAAGTCACCTCTGGCAAGACTCCTGTTCCTTTTTAAGCCTCAGTCTCCCCATCAGGGGAATGGGACTTAGAAGAGCAAACTCCTTCCAGGGTTCTTTAAATGTTGCTGGCACCCAAGGATGCCACAGGGTGAGTGGCAGGTGGTGAGCCAAGATCGTAATAATGAAGAGAATTGGTGGGTCATAATTATTAGATCAAATAACGGCAGGCCTCTGAGGTCCCATGTCTCAGAGCCAGAACGCAGGCAAAAGCCCCGTCCCACAACAGCAGTCCGAACAGGGGCCGTTGCTAGGGGCTGAGGGATCCCACTCAGGGCTGGGAAGGGTCTGTGTTTGTTCATTTGGTTTTTTTTTTTTTGCTTGTGTTTAAATATTTGTTTACTTCTTTGAAAGGCAGGTGTCAAAAGAGAGGGAGAGATCTTCCATTTGATAGCTCATTCTCCAAACGGCCACAAGGTCCGGGCTGAAGCCAGGGCCACAGGGCCCATCTTCTGCTGCCTCCCCAGGCCATTAGCAGGGAGCTGGATCAGAAGCAGAGTAGCCAGGACTCGAACCAGTGCTTAACTCACTGTGTCCTAACACCAGCTCCAGGATCTGTGTTTTGATTTAGAGATTGGCTACATGGGTGACTGCAGGGATGACCAGCTAGGTGCCTGACAAAGATTTTGCCTATGATCTTTATAAGCATCCAAGTGCATCTAGTGTGCACTGAGCACCAAATCTGAATTTATTTAACGCTTGTACTGAGGTAAGTTTTTCCAAGTCTTAGATTCTGTCTCTGGAAGGCGGCCTCCCTCTTTGTCAGGGTGCGATGTTTAAGGGTGTGAGGCTTACAGACTGGCTGGGCGTTGTGAATCTAGCAGCCCAGCTGTGCAGAGTTGCACCAAGCGCCAATGAACGTCTCACCAACTGCCCACCTTTCCTCCTCCTTCCTATATCCTGGTGAGAGAAGCCAAGGCCCCGAGAGGTTCAGCAGCTTTGCCCAAAGCCACACAGCCCCTACATGGGGGAGACATGACCCTTAGGGAAGTCAGGGAGGACGGGCCGTGGAGGGCACAAGGCTGTCCCCGTGCTTGCCCTGTGACCCACTGTGACAGATGCAGAGGAACCCCTAGCTGGGACAGAGGAGAGATGGGGACAGACAGTGGCCACTCTCACATCTCTGTGATGGCCATGACCTTCCCACTGGAGCCCTTTAGCCCCCTAGCTGGGGCACAACAGGAAGTGAGTCCTGGAGAATGAAGAGGACACACTTCTGCTTTCCTGGGGACACTTGAGGGATTCAGATGGTGGAGAGCAATTGGCATCTGAGGTCTGCCAAATCCGGCTGGCCTCCAGGTATGGACCTCAGCCTTGTCCTTTTGGCCATGTTGGGAGTCAGCGGGACAGCACGGGCCACCTGGGCTCTCTGGGCCTCAGATCCTCTCCTGGAACACAAGGGTGTTATCAGTGCCACCTGCTAGAGCTGAAATGCCAAGTAGAGGTGCTCCCATGAAAGCACCCAAAGGCAGTTCCTGTGGAGCTGATTTTATAAAAGATTTTATAAATGAGGCATGGCACACCACTTAGGGTTTGGTGAGACCAGGGTTTGGATCCCAGGTCTGCCACCTCCTGTCTGTCACCTTGACAGGCTGCAAGCTACCCTTAGTTTCTTTGATCTTGAAAACCGTCGGATCTCCAGATTGTCCACACAGGCGAGGGGCTGTCAGGAAAACGGTGCCACGAGGCCCCGCCCCCAGCTGACCCACCACAAGAGCTGCTCACTGTCATTGACGGCTGTCTCCTCCAACAGGCGAGGTCCTACCCACACTTGGCTGTGACTCCAGAGCTCAGAGCGCTTCAGACGCTGTGGACACACAGATCTGGGGTCCAGGTGTTTCTGTTTTTTTCACTCCAGAGTCAGAGCTGGATGGGTATTCAGCTCAATGGTTAAGACACCACATGATGGGCTGGTGCCATGGCATAGCACATTAAGCTTCCATTTGCAGCACCAGTTCCAGGCATCTCATGTGGGCAATGGTTCAAGTCCCAGCTACTCCACTTCCAATTCTGCTCCCTTCTAATCTGCTTGGGAAAGCAGTGGAAGATGGTCCAGGTGCTTGGGCCCCTGTGCCCACCTGGGAGACCCAGACGAAGCTACTGGCTCCTGTATCGGGGCTGGTCCATCCTGGACAATTGAGGGGCTCTCCAGAAGAAAGATTTCTTTCTTTCCCTAACCCTACTTTTCTTTTCTTTCTTCTTCTTCTTCTTCTTCTTTTTTTAAATTGGAAAGCCAGATATACAAAGAGGAGAAGAGACAGAGAGGAAGATCTTCTGTCCATTGATTCACTTCCCAAGAGATCACAATGGTTGGAGCTGAGCCAATCCAAAGCCAGGAGCTAGGAGCCTCTTCTGGGTCTTCCATGCAAGCACAAAATCCTAAGGCTTTGGGCCGTCCTCAACTGCTTTCCCAGGCCACAAGCAGGGAGCTGAATGGGAAGCGGAACTGCTGGGACTAGATGGTGCCCATATGGAATCCTGGTGTATATGAGGCAAAGACTTCAGCTACTAGGCTACTGTGCTGGGCCTTCTAACTCTACTTTTCAAATAAATAATGAGAATTTTGTAAAAGGACACCCCTGTATCAGAATGCCTGGGTTTCAGCCTCAGCTCCGCCTCCAGTTTCCTGCTGCCATGTACTCTGGGAGGCCACCGACGACGGCTCAGGCTCTCGGGCTCTCGGCATCTACGCCAGAGTTGAAGACTGAGTTCCAGGCGCCTGGCTTCAATGGGCGGGCCTTTTGAGAATAAGCCAGCAAATAGAAGACCTCTGCTGTCCCTGTCTCTGAATCCCTGTCCACTAATCAATAAATAAAATTAAAATAGAGGGAGGGTGGGAGGAAGACTGTTGTGACGGCTCAATTGGCTAATCCTCTGTCTGCAAGTGCTGACATTCCCTATGGGCTCCTGTCTGTGCCCTGCCTGCTCCATTTCCCTCAGCTGTCTGTCTGTAGCCTGGGAAAGCAGCAGGCGATGGTTTAAGTCCTTGGGACCCTGCACCCACTCTGGAGACCCAGAGAAGTCTCCTGCCTTTGGAGCTTTCTCTCTCTCTTTCTCGCTTTCTTTCTCTCTGTAAAATCTGTCTTTCCAATTAAAAAAAAATAAATAAATCTTTTCATAAATAGTAAAATTAGAATAGGAGCAACTTCAGGAGAGATGCTTGACTACCTAGCTAGCATTTTAAAATCATTTTCATAAAGATCTGTTATTTATTTGAAAGGGAGAGAGAGAGAGAGAGAATCATCCATTCATTGCTTCACTCCCCAACTGCCTGCAAAAACTGTATCTTGGCCAGGCCAAAGCCAGGAACCCAGAACTCCATCTGAGTCTCCCACATGGGTGGCAGTGCCCCAAGCACTTGGGTGGTCCTCCGCTGCTTTCCCAGGTGCATTAGTAGGCAGCTGGATCAGAAATGGAATGGCTAGACTTGAATTCCAAGTGTGAGATGCCACTGTTGCAAAGTGTGGCTCAACCCACTGTGTTACAACATCATGCTCTGCAATGCACTCTTGTTGAAAACACACACACAGAGTCCAGCGAGGGAAGAAGACCCAGAGAGGTCAGGACTGGGATGAGAGAAACAGAGCAGTGGGCACTGAAAAGCTCTGGCCCTGCTCGCTCAGGTCCGGTCAGAGCTGCTATCGCTGAACCACAGAGACTGAACACAGCTAATAATGTGTGATGCATTTCCTACCTTCCAGATCATGTCTCAAGTGGTTATTTGCAACCCACTGAATTCTCACAACAACCTTCTCAGATAGGTGCAAGCGTTGTGTCCATTTTACAGAGGAGAGAACTGAGGTCAGGTCATTGGCCCAAATGGAGCCAGCATTCAAACATAGGACATTCAGCTTAACCTGCTGCTTTCCCGCCTCTCAACACACCAAGGCTGGGGAGGGCTGGCTTCCCAGGGAGAAGATGAGGGTCAAAGGTGGGGAGCTGAGACGGAGAGGATCAAAGCCTGGTGGGGGGCTCTCACCTGCAGGGTGCAGTGGGTGAGGGGGTAGATGCCACTCAAGCCTGGCGTCCAAGCCACCTCCAGCTCTGTGGGCCAGCGAGAAACCAGGTGGAGGTCGTGGGGCCGCTGCGGGATCACTGTGGACAGATGAGGGAAGCCCTTCAGATGTGCGTCTTTGCCCAAAGCTCTCACCGCGCCGCCCCCCACCTCCCCTCGGAGGGTCTAAGCCCCATCTCTGACACCCAACACCTCCCTGGCTAATCTTCCACTCCTGTCACCTGTGATGGTGGCCGTGCGGGACGTGGTGACCCCTTTGGAGTTATGGGCTTCGCAGGAGAAGGAGGACGTCCTGTTCAGACCTGGGAGTCACAGAAGAGAGGAACCCTGAGTCAGAGATGGGGAACAGGGGGGCTCCTCTTACCTCCTCTGTCCTAGCCAGGCTCAGCCTAGGCCCTGGACCCCTGCTGGGAAAGAGCAGGTAGGGAGGGGGAGGACAACGCCTTAGACACATCACCTCAGTCCCCAAGTTCAAGGCCAGGCCTATGACCTCAGCAGGACTTCAAACCCTTGTCACACACTCATGCATGCAAGTCAGTAGAGGCACAGAGTCCACGCAGGCACAGGTAGACACATATTCACACAGACACACCAGTACACAGAGAAACAGATTCAGAAACACACGTACATGCACAAACACGCACTTGGGGACCCGAGGAGACACATGCACCTGCTAGACACACGTGTGTGGGCATAGCTACCATCATCAACCCTCTCCTCTTTGCTTGCTGTGTTTCTGTCGCTCCTGCTCTCCTACACACACACACACACACACAGCGCACAGCTGCACAACATTCGAGAGAGGGGACCAGAGGAGGAGCACCTTGGGTGTGCTTCCCCAGCCTGCACGCGCTCCTAGCCAGTCAGCGCATTGCACGCTTCTGGCTCTACCCCGGTTCCCACCACCGCGGTGTTCCAGAGGAGCGTTCCGCCCGCCCGCCAGCAAACACAAAGTTTCCTTTTCTCAGAGGGAGAGGAACCAAGAGGGAGAGTCAGGCCGAGACCGGAAGGGGGTAGGCAGGGGAGCTCCGCAGTGGCCAGCTGCCCAGGCGGCCTCCCGTTCCCAGCCAAGGTCAGGTGCCTGCGTGCAGCCCCCGCGGCCCGGGGGAGGCCAGAGGGCGGCGGGCCAGAGAGGGGACGGGGAGCCCAGTCCCGCTCCAGCCACCTGGCACGTGGGGCCCGCTCCAGGGTCACAGCGCACGCAGGAGCTGGCGCCTCCCCGGCCTTGGCACGGGGGTGGGGGCGGTGGGGGGAGTCTTCTGGAGCCAGGTCGTGTTCCGACCACAGCATTCCTGCCCCCGCGTGAGTCATTGGGGCGTCCCCTCTCCCCAACCCCAGCACTTCCGGCAGGCCTACTCCCCTCCCCCCCGCGCGCACGGGGTGGGATCCTGGTTCCCAGACCCCAGAGGTGGCATCTTGTGGGAGGGGGAGCTCAGGGATCCAGGGCCTGGGTCCAGCTCCCCTCCGAGGGCTGCTGCTCTGGGACAGAGGCCACCTCACTCCAGATGTACTTTCCAGATGTCTGCCCCACCCCCAGCCCCTGCTCCCCCCCCTTCTTTTCCAAGGGAATGAGAGGGATGGAAGAAGAGGGGGGCGCGCCCTGAGTCAGATAGAGGGACAGACAAACACGAGCAGACAAAATCCCTTCTTCTTCTCCCCCACTAACAATGAATCATCCTTAAACACGCAGGGTCCATTATTATTACTACAAATAACTATGAGAAAACGCAGCGCTGGCTAAGCCACACTCTGATGTACCCAGGCTGGTGTTGTCAGATGTGGCGACTTCCGTGTAAACACACAGGGGCACACGCCGAGGCCGAACACTCATGGCGGGGGAACATGCAAACATGCAGTCCCACGGGCAGATGCGGATAGCAAACACCCAGCAACATGAGGGGCGCCCAGCCCCCTACACATCCCGGCCACAGGGACGCTGAAGTGGGCTGGGATGGACACACACACACATAGACACACTGGGACCCACGTCCCCCCCCCACACACACACCCTGCTCTGCTTCCTGCCCGCTTGCTGGCACACAGCACCCCAGTGGCCATGAACACGCAGACAAGCCTTCCTGCGCGACCATCGTGGCACACACGCAGGCTGTCACAGGCTCCCAGGGGACAGTTCTTCAGGCACTGTGGCTGGCACCAACGCCCTGTACCAAGCGGCAGCCGCAGGTGGAAGCACAGAGTGTCGCTGCTGCTCACATATACAGACGCCTGCATGGACAGACATAGACACATGTGGACACACGAGGGAACACACACATGTGGACACAGGAGGATGCACACACATCCACTCAGACATACCTAAGTGGATACACCCATACGGATGTACATACAGACACACAGTAGAGCCCATGATGACAGACCCATCGGGGACATACACGCACACCCCATAACGGGCTCCACAGCACCCACGGGACACGTCCTGTGCCGCAGGAGGACATACTCAGCCACACACCTGCGAGCTGCCGCCCACTCTCCATTCCCACACAATGACGAACACACAGTGATGGATGGGTACAGGCTGACACTGGATCGGTCAGTAAAACACACACACACACACACACACACACACACAGTAGCTGCTCCCACTCAAGGCCCACCTACATATAAACAGGCAGCTGTGGATGGAACCCAAGACAGGAGATGTGACTCCCTCTCCTCTTGCCCCATTGAACCACCCCCCCCCCACACACACACACACACTTAGTCCTTGGTCCAACCCCTGGGACACTGTGCCTCCGATTCTCACTCCTTCCTGGGCCAGAGCTGGGGGGCTTGCCCCTCCCCCTCTGCCTCGCCCTAGTCCTGCCAGGCTGACTCAGGACTCCCTGTCTCTACCCGGCCACCAACTCGCATCACGGGCCTGAGTCACTCCTCCGGGAGCTGCTCACTCAGGGTCCCTGGAATGCTGGGAATGTGGCACCTGCCTTCACCCAGAGACCCTCCTCATGCTGGCAGAGGGAGGCACCAGGAAGCCATTACCCTCAACCACTTTCCCTTATGAAACATCCTGTATGTGGTTCCATGTCTCTCCTCCTTCAGGAAGGGGAAGCCCCCAAGTCCAGGGCCAGCCTGAGTCCACTGTGTGACCCCAGGACAGGACCTGCCATAGTGCAGAGGGGATGGGTCACCCTGAAGGGGAGGGTGCCACAGCTTAGGCTACTTCTTTGGCCGGTTCATTTCTGTGTCTCCCAGGCACTCTCTCTCTCTCTCTCTCTCTTCTCTGGGCTCTGTGCCCTGAGAGGGGCCTGGTTGGATGTCCTCCCTGGGGCCAGAGCCGGAGGTGGGCAGGGCATGGGGGGAGGTGGCGGAGAGGCGGGAAGGACTGGTTCGTGGGTCAAAGGCACCAGGCCCACACGCTCTTGGGCCGTGGTGCAGCTCAGTGGGAATCTGGGACAAAGACTGCTATTCAGAGAGAGGCTAGAGTGAATGGAGGGAGAGGCAGAGAGAAGGGGAGAGAGATCCGCAGAGAGAAGCAGCGAGAGAGAAAGGGAGAGATGAGAGAACAGAGAGACATTAAGAGACTGAGACTCGGAGAGGGGCGCAGAGGGGGGACAGAGGGCCGGAAGGCTCCTCCAGGGGGCAAGCCAGCTCCCTACTGACCCAGTGCACAGAGTCCGGACTCACCCAGAATGTGCAGGCTGTCCTGGGGGCCCTGGCCTGGGGCCGGGGCCAAAGATACTGCATCCTGGAGCCAGAGTAGCTTCACGGGATCTGGGGGTCCTTGGGCCCGGCAGCTCAGGTTGAAGGGGGTGTCGGCAGACACAGCTCGGTCCTCCGGCTCCTCCAGGAAGTATGGCAGGCCTGGTGGGAGGGCGGCAGTCCCACGTGTCCCACCCACTTCTGGGACCCTTGGCCCACTCTGCAGTGTCTCCAATTCCCTGGGTCCAACCCCCTGGAACGCTTGGGCCTCCTGCATGACTGACAGCACCCCCACCCTGCCCTCTATCCCTCCCCCTCATGTTTGATCTCTAAGATGACCGGGTCCCTCACATCTGATTCATCATCTCATTTCTTTGAGGAGGAAGGTGAGAGGCCCCGGGGGGTCGGGGGAGCCAGCTCCATCCAGGGTTTCTCATCCCTTATCTGGCCCGTGGAATGTGCTACGTCAACCACGGCTGACTGCCAGGACAGCCCATGGACCCCAGTCACATCTTCACAGCGTACGCCCCCCCCCCACTCCCCGGGCCTGTCTCCATCCTGCGCCCACCCTCTGCAGGCCTCCTGGGTCTCCCAGCACCCTGGGGTCTCCCCCTGACCTCCCCATATGTACTGGGACTCCTCCTAGTGGAGGAGGGGCTCACCTTCCAGCCCCACATAGCCAGCCTCGGACATGAATGTCTGTCCGCCCAGGACCACCGCACACTGGTACCACCCCGCGTCCGACAACTGCAGAGAAGAGATTCTGGAAGGAGAAAAGGAGAAAAAAATAGGTCAGAGGTCAGAGCTGGGAGTAGATGGTCGCTGATGAGGGAACTGCTACTGTCCCAGAGCCCTGGTCATTAGCTCAGAGCCACCCGTGCCGTAAGCAGCCCAGACAGAAGACACACTACAAGCCAGAGGGGCTCCAAGCCCAGGACCTTCTAGCCGCTCCGTGATGGAGCTCCGTGGGGATGGGAAAAGGAATGGATGTGGCCGTGGGGGCAGAGCTGGTACCTGAGCTGGCTGACCACTTTCCAGTCATCCTCGCTGTCTTCGCCCAGGGGCACTTGTGTCTGGGTGCTGTCCGCCAACTCCAGGATCTGTCCATCCCGCAACCAGGTCACCTCGGGAGGCTCGCCCTGGAGCCGGAGCTCGCACCTCAGGGTCCCCGTGAGTCCCCGGGCGCGGGTGATGTTGCCCGGACTCCTCACAAAGAGATACTCCTCTTCTGCCTGCGTGCCTGTGTTGGAGAAGGGGTGCATGACACGGGAGCTTAGAGACACCCCCGCCACCCCCAGTGCTGTCCTTGCCTGCCCACCGGCTGCCAGGACCCCATAGGGCCCTCTGGCCCACATAGTTGCCTGGTGACCTCAGAAGGGGTGGAGGACCATGGCTTGGGGGAGGAGGGAGCCTTCCCAGGGGACCTAGCTCCCATCCGTCCGTTGGGAAGTAGGCCCGGGATCTGGCAGCCTCCCACGCCCTGGACTGCCTGGCAGGCCAGTCCCTGCCCCCTACCCGCCCTCCCTTGGGGTCTCTGGGGACTTCACAGACTGGGGCTGGTGGAAAGATAGGGGAGGAGGAGGGTGGGGGACAAGACGGAGGCGAGAAAAGAGGGTGGGAGAGGAAGGGAAGGAGCCAGAGAAATCAGAGAAAGTCAGACATGGGGGAGAGAGCAGAGGCAGAGAGAGGAGAGATGGAAAGTGACAAAGTGCAACACACCCCTCTGAAGGGATGGGGAGGCTGCTGCGGGAGGAGGGAGAGATGAGGGGCCCCGTGGAGATTACAGAGCTGGAGGCAGAGATGGAGAGAGAGGTGGGGACCCCTGTCCCCAGGGGTGAGGGGTGACAGTGACAAGGAAACGCCCCATTCTGTGGCTTCCGTGCCCTTGGGGGGTAGGGGAGGGCTCCTGCCTTCCCAGATGGTCCTGAGCCCTTAGCTCCATGTCTCCCATCTGTCTGTCTGTCTGTGTCCGTCTCTTCCGTCTCTGGCCCTCTTGGTTTCTGTTTCCTGTCCTTCTGTTCCTCTCTCAGATTCTGTCTGAGTCTCCGCGTCTCGTTGTCACCTTCTTGCCAAGTCCCTTGCCAAGTTTGGTCCCCAGCAAACTCCGGGTAAGCCAGCCCAGCAGTACCACCACCACCCCCAAGGACACCTGCCATCATCCCCTTCCCCTCCGCCCTCCCTGAGTTCCCATCACTCACCCCTGGGGGCCAGGCACCCCCAGCAACACAGCGCCAAGCACCAGGCCAGTGGGACCCTGCCCATCCTCCGGGCACCACGGCGGCGGGTGAAGTCTGTGCCAAACTTTGCTCAGAAGTTGCTGGGCACCCCGTGGCGGGGAGGGGGCAGGGCCGGGCTGTCCCCGGCCCTCCCCCCCAGCTGCGGTGGGGCTCCCCGGATTTGGCACTGCCCGCCTGGCTCAGCGGGGGGCCCTTTGGGCAGGCTCTGGTCCGTTCCTCCTTCCTAGGTTCCACCAAAGCAGCCCAGCAGCCACCGCCTTCCCAACTCTCTGGCCTCCTCCCCTCCCTCCCAGACTTCGAGCAACTCAGTCCCCGCCCCCGTTCCCCCTCTGCCTCCGCCCACCGGGCCCTCAGCCCAGGGGCCACCTGGACGACGAGGGGTTAACTTGCAAAGGCAAGGACAAGCCCTGTCTTAAAGGGGCCTCAGAGGGAGGGAGGGACGGAGGGAGGAGGCAGAGGAGGGGGAAGGAGACCCCCAGTGGCTGTGCTGGGGCCGGAGGCTGCGGATCCCTCTGGGCTCCACCGGCCAGCTCTGGGCGCTGTCCCTCTAGGCTCCTTGGACGTCTGGTAAACAGCCCTCCCCTCCTAGCCTGGACGCCCCCCTCCGCCCAGCCCTGGGCCAGGCCTCCTTGGCCCTCACTCCCCCTTGCACTCAAGGCTCCAAAAAGAAGGTCTCTCTCTCTCTCTCTCTCTCTCTCTCTCTCTCTCTCTCTCTCTCTCTCTCTCAGACAGGCAGATACACGCTGGGGCATGCCACCAGCCCACAGACACACACAGACAAGCCGGCTCATCCGCTGCAAGAACACGTGACAGATTCTCACGTGGGGAGACACGGTTCTCAGACACCCCAGACCTCACACCAGCATTGAGATGGGCAAACACTACCGTGCCCTACCACCCCCGACTCCCACCTCCCCCAATCCAGATGCGGGTTAAAATCCCAGTGCTACTGTTAGTCCTGTGGTCGATGGCAGGTGACACACTGGGCCTCAGTGTGTCTCTCTGTGAAATGGGAACGAATAGGAGCTGTGTCCCTTGGGCTGGTCAGTAGGAAGGATCACCTGGGTCCAAACAACACATGCCAGCACATGGAGGTGGCATGCTGGCTGAAATTGCATCAGCTTGCCTCTCTGTGCACACCGGCTGTTCTCACCAGGGCACATTAGCTCTGCTGCGTGTCTGCTTGGTGTCCCTGGGGACTTGGCATGTCCGGTGCCTGCGGGGCTGGGCACCTGGCTCTCTGCTTTTGGCTGTTTCTCATTGGGCCACCTCCATCTCCTCCGGATGCCTTTGCTATGGGCCCCCTCCTCTCCTCTCCCGTCTCCACTCAAACTCAGACAGCACCTGCATGGCCCTCCCTCAGCCCTGCTCAGCCATGGCTCCCCACAGTCCTCAGAGGTCCCTTGGTCCCTCGCCCTCTGCTTGCCTGGGCTATCTCATCCATGTCCTCCCCCTTTTAACCCCAGCCCCCGCTCTGCACTGAGCCTCCTGCACATCCCTCCTCCCCCCCCCGCACCAAGTTGTTATATTCTACAGAGCTTTCAGTGTCTCCCCTTGCTGCCTGGGCCCATCTTGTCCTCCCTGGCCTGGCCTTCCACCCTGGGCTGTTGGACTCCGCTCCCACTCAGCAGTCAGAGGAGTATTCCACTCCCAGGCCAGAACCTCTTCAGGCTCCTTCCCTCCTTTCTTAAAATGATTTACTTATTCATTTTTTGAAAGATATATATCTATGTATCTTTATCTATCTATATAGATAAGCACTTAGCCATCACGTGCAGTAGCAGCAAGCTGGATCAGAAGCAGAAGCTAGCTGAGACTTGGACTGGGACGCTGATACGGGACTCTGACAAGTGGTGGGCCAATTTGCTGTGCCACAACACCAGCCCCTCCAGCTACTCCTAGCTCTCCACTCGTGTGCACCTTGGCAGGCATTGGGTGATGGCTGCAGTACTTAGGTACAAGCTTCCAGCTTTGGCCTGGCTTAACCCTGGCTGTTGTGGGCATTCGAGAAGTAAATCATCAGGTGGAAATCTTCACCTTTATATCTCTGCCTTTCAAGTAGATGGAAATAAAGACTTTTTAAAAATGTGGCCCAGCATGGTAGCTCAGTGGCTAAAGTCCTCTTCTTGCATGTGCCAGGATCTCTTTTGGGCACCAGTTCTAATCCTGGTCGCTCCACTTCCCATCCAGCTCCCTGCTCGTGGCCTGGGAAAGCAGTCGAGGACAGCCCAAAGCTTTGGGACCCTGCACCCGAATGGGAGACCTGGAAGAGGCTCCTAGTTCCTGGCTTTGGATTGGCTCAGCTCCAGCCGTTTCGCTCCACTTGGGAAGTGAATCAATGGACAGAAGATCTTTTTGTCTCTACTCCTCTCTGTACCTCTGAATTTCCAATAAAAATAAATAAATCTTTAACAAATAAATAAAAATTAATAAAGGGGCGCTGGCACAGTGGCATAGCTGACTATGACAATGCCTGCAGTGCTGTCATCCTCCTGTGGGGACTGGTTCAGGTCCTGGCTGCTCCACTTGCAATCCAACTTCCTGCCAATGGTCTGGAAAAGCAGAAGAGAATGGTCCAAGCACTTGGGCCCCTGCACCCATGTGAGACACCGAGGAGCAGTTCCTGGCTCCTGGCTTTGGCTTGGTGAGACCTGACCATTTGGGAGGTGAGCCAGGAGATAGATGGAAGATGTGTCTTTGCTTTCTCGTCTCTTCTCTCTCTGGAACTTTGCCTTTCAAATAAATAAAATACATATTTACACCAAAACAACTGAGGCATTTTTGGAGGAGCAGAGGTCTATTTATTTAGATATGTGATAGATTCCCACCTCCCTAAGACTTACCACACGGTGCTGGGTTCATGGCCAACATGGACCTGTGCATTCATTCCCTCAAGAACCAATTGCTGGACCTGGTGTGATGGCTCAGTGGCTAAATCCTCGTTTTGCACACGCCAGGATCCCATATGGGTGCTGGTTTGTGTCCTGGCTGCTCCACATCCCATCCAGCTCCCTGCTTGTGGCCTGGGAAAGCAGTGGAGGACAGCCCAAAGCCTTGAGACCTTGCATGTATGTAGGAGATCTGGAAGCATCTCCTGCCTCCTGGCTTCAGATCGGCTCAGCTCCAGCCATTGCAGCTACTTGGGGTGAACCAGCAGATGGAAGATCTTCTCTCTGTCTCTCCTTTTCTGTAAATCTACCTTTCCAATAAAAATTTTAAAAACAGTTTTCTAAAGAACTGTTTGCTGAGAACTGACTCTCATAATACAGGAGGCTGGCACTGCAGGTGGCAGCCTCACTTGTTGTGCTACAACCCTGGCGCCTGGCGGGGGGAGCGAGGGGGGGGTGGAAACGCTATTTTAGAGGATGTTTAGGGAAGGCCTTGCTGAGGCTTTGACAGAATGGACGGCCAACACGTGAGCCAAGGCAGAAGAGCATTGCAGGCAGGTAAAGGCCCAGCAGCAGGCCTGTGCCGAGCTGACCTCCAGGGGGTCTGTCTGGCTGGAGTAACAGGAGAGCAGTGGGGAGCTGGCGTCCGCAAGGACCTGGGCCTGGCCAGGACTCAGCTCTGTCGTCGGACGGGAGTCCCTGGTGGACTTTGGGCAGGAAACATTACTTGTTTTATTTTTAAAGAATCTCTCAAAGGCCAGCAGGTGAAAAGTTGAGACATTTTAACTTTCTTTTTAAGCTTTATTGATTTAGAGCTCAGCACGGTAGCCTAGTGGCTAAAGTCCTTGCCTTGCAAGCGCCAGGATCCCATATGGGCGCCGGTTCTTGTCCCGGCTGCTCTACTTCCCATCCAGCTTCCTGCCTGTGGCCTGGGAAAGCAGTCGAGGACGGCCCAAAGCCTTGGGACCCTGCACCTGTGTGGGAGACCTGGCTGCTGGCTTTGCTGAGCTCAGCTCAGGTCACAACCTAGCTGTTGTGACCACTTGGGGAGTCAATCAGCAGATGGAAGAGCTTTCTCTCTGTAAAATCTGACTTTCCCAATACAAATAAATAAAAATGTTTTCCAAAGAAAGAGGTTTATTAATTTATTGGAAAGTCACAGTTAGAAAGCAGGGTGGAGGGCTGGGGGCAGGGAGGCAGAGATCAATGTCCCATTGCTGGTTCACTCCCCCTGTGGCCATATCGGCCGGGGCTGGGCTAGAGCAGGAAGCCTGCAGCTCGATCTGGGTTTCCCACACGGATGACAGCGCACTTCCAAACAGGTGCTCATGTAGGCTGCTGGCACCGCAGGTGGAGGCGTAACAGGCTGTGCCACAACACCGACTTCCCAACAGAGGGATCGGGACCTGGCCACTCCGCACTTGCGTGTCACTAAGTATGAAGCCACGAGGAGCCCCCAGATCTGCTAATTCCCCGTTTGCAGGAATTCCTGGGAATGGAAAGACATTTTCAAGGATGTTCCAAAAACACATCATCTGTCAAGTCCATGAAAAATTATGTGGGACAAATGACTTGGCTTATTAACGGAATGAGTAGCGTGCCAAAGTCTGGAGAACACGGAGTCTGAAACGCTAAGAGGCTTCTCGGAGTTTGGGTCCAAACTTGAATCAACCAACTGAAAAGCACACAGCAGAGAGACAGGAATTCCGACCAACACAGAACTGCCTATGTAGCTGATGTAAAACAAAACAAAACAAAAAAACAAAAAAACAGGTACTTGGATTTTGACTTTGATTTCAAAGGTAAAATTTTGGCGCCTCACTCATGGTGTCCACATCCATAGGGGGGCTGGTTCGGGACCTGGCTGTTCCACCTCTGACCCAGCTCCCTGCCGATGTGCCTGGGAAACAGTGAGAAACGGCCGTTAGTGCTTGGGCTGCTGCACCCACGTGGGAGAATGGAAAGAAGTTCCTGGCTCTTGGCTTTGGACCAGCCCGGCTCTGGGTGCTGCTGTCATTTCTGTAATTCTGCCTTTCAAATAAAAAATAAATAAATAAAATCTTTAAAAAAAAAAAAAGGTAAAGCAGGGAGAGCATTAGTAGGAAATTTTGTCAGAAGTGGAGCAGTGAGCCTGGTGTGACAGCCTAGAGCTTAAAGCCCTTGCTTCATAAGTGCCGGGATCCCAAATGGGCACCAATTCTAATCCCGGCTGCTCCACTTCCCATCCAGCTCCCTGCTTGTGGCCTGGGAAAGCGGCAGAGGATGGTCTAAAGCCTTGGGATCCTGCACTGTATGGGAGCAGTCCTTGCGACCTTGAACCCATGTGGGAGGTCCAAAAGCAGCTCCTGGCTCCTGGCTTCTGACCAGCTCAGCTCTGGCCATTGCAACCATTTGGGGAGTGAACCAACAGGTGGAAAATTCTCAGTGTGTGTGTGTGTGTAACTTCTTCTTTCTGTAACTTCAGCTTTCAAAGAAAAATTTAAAAAAATATTTTTTAAAAACTGTTGAGAAGAAAAACATGTCCTTCATTCTTAGAAATCTGTATTTAATTATTATCTGGGCCTTGCTATCAACTCATCCTTAAAAACTTGTACTTGAGGGCCCAGCGCCATACCCTAGCGGCTAAAGTCCTCACTTTGAACACGCCAGGATCCCATATGGGCACCGGTTCTAATCTTGGCAGCTCCACTTCCCATCCAGCTCCTTGCTTGTGGCGTGGGAAAGCAGTTGAAAACAGCCCAAAGCCTTGGGAGCTTGAACCCGTGTGGAAGACCCGGAAGAAGCTCCTGGCTCCTGTCTTTGGATCGGCTCAGCACCAGCCATTGCGGTTGCTTGGAGAGTGAATTATCAGAACATCTCCCTACCTCTCCTCCTCTCTGTATATCTGACTGCAATAAAAAAAAAAAAAATCTTTTTAAAAACCTATACATGAGTGGAAATTAGCAAGATTAGGATTGTTGGAGGAGGCTGGGGGATGGGTTACGGGAGTTGCGTTTGGAAACTTTCTTAGCAGGTCGTTTAACACACAGGCTTTCTCTGGGAAGGGTCGACAGGAGAGGCCAGGACACGGCTGGGGTCTGTCTGTGTGCTGTGCCTCTGCGTGCTGTCTGCCTCCTCACTCCCAGCATCCCCAGGGGCTCGTCTGTTGATTCTGGGCTTTCCCTGGCTAGAGCCCCCTCTCTACTCCCCCTCAGGACAGCCCGGTCCTCCCCTCCCTCCCTCCCTCCTCCACATCTGGTACTGATGTCAACAGCCAGGGTGGGCGGGGACCATGTTTTTCAGTTCCCGCCCGGCCTCAGGGGAGGGGCGGACTCCCCCTTCTGCGCCCGACTGATTCTGTCACACACCAGGCCAGACACAAACATTTATTGCAAAATGAGGCGGGGGTGGGAGGGACATTGGATCTGGCTTCTCCCCTCACACTGGGACCCCCCACATGGTCATCAAGGCCCTTCTGCTGGGCTTTGTGTGGACCTGGAGGCAGAGGAGGGGCTGGGGTCAGGGAGAACAGGGGTCCCGTTTGAGCCGGTTACATAAGCAGGGCTGGGGGCTGGGTGGGCGTCTCGCAGACCAGGGGTCTGTTTATCTGGAGAATCTGTGATCGGGTGTTTGGAAAGGGGCCCCAATAGCAATGGTGTGGGAGCCTCACGTGTGCCTGGCTGTGTGGCCTTGGTGGCCGGGGGTCACTGTGCAAGGGGGTCCCGGCGCAGGGACACTCTCATTTCTCACTTAACCGAGGAGGGGGCATGTTGCTTTTTGAGTAGGGCACCTGGAGACCCTGGCATTGATGGGGGTTGTGTGCCATGGCCACGGACATCTGCTTCTGTGACGTTAGGGGTGGGGGACGGGCAGCTGCGTGTGGTGTACAAGTCCGTGTGTGGCTGTGCCAGCTGGTGGAGCCAGCCTGGGCAGCAGCTGCCTTAAGGCCCTGGTGGCTGTGGCCGGCGTGTGGCAAAGCCTGTGACAGCTGCCTGGGCCAAAGGCGCGTCAGTGTGGGTTGCCTGCAGTGTAGACTTGTGGCTCCAGAGACATAACTCCACCCTTGTCCCCTACCCGTCCCAAGTAAGGATGGAGGCCCCATCCCTGCCATCACCACCACTACCACCACCCAGAGCTCCCCTCTCTTCAGCAGGTGCACTCGGTGCGGTGCGCCGGAGATCAGCGGGGCCGCACTTGCAGCTGGAAGGTGGAGGGGACATTGAAGAGGCCGCTGACAGCAGGCTGGAGGCTGAGCGCTGTCGGCGGGCACGGGCTGTCCAGGGAGAACGCCTGAAGGATGGCCGTGAACAGCAGGAAGAGCTCTGCACGGGCCAGGCCTTCGCCGAGGCACACACGCTTACCTGGGAAGAGAGTAAGGGCCGTGGGGCTGAGCCAGGCCAGGCCTGGGGGGGAAGAGACAGTGGGTGGTGGGCAAGGGGAGGGGAGTCAGGGCTCCCGAGGGGCAGCCACTTTACCTAGGGAGAAGGGCAAGAATGCCTCGTGCTTCCGGAACCGTCCCTCGTCATCCAGGAAGCGGTCAGGGTTGAACTGTTCCGGCTGCTCAAAGACCGTGGGGTCCTGCAGGACAGAGCCAAGGAGGGGGAAGACCTCCGTGCCCTAGAGGGAAGACAGTCACGTGACTCCTCAGTGGGGACGGCGGGTGGGGTCAGGTGTGGGGTGCTCACGAGGTCAGCACCACCGAGGACTCTTCTCTGTGATAACCCAGGTGTTGCGTTCACATGTGTGCGCTGCACACTGACCGAGAAGCTGGTGTGAATGATGGCGTGGAAGGGTGGGCAGCAGGATTTCCTGAAATCGGTGATACAAAAGGTCTTCAAAACATGAATTTAAAAATTTTAAAAGAGTTCAGGGAGAGCTAGAGACCTTCCATACACTTGCTTCACTCCCTAGTAAGAGCTGGGGCTGGATTGGTCCAAAGCCAGGAGCCAGGAGCTTCATTGGGGTCCCCTATGTGGGCGGCAGGGGCCCAAGCACTTGAGCCATCCTCTGCTGCTTTCCCAGGTGTGTTAGCAGGGAGCTGGATCAGAAGTGGAGCAGCCAGGACTGGGATCGGTGCTGGTACAGGATGCCAGCAGGACAGGGCATTAGGCCACAATACTAGCCCTGGCTTTGCTCTTTTTTTTTTTTTTTTAATTTCCATGTGCACTGTGGGGAGCAACAGGTGACAGCTTAAGTACTTCTTTAAAAAAAAAAATTAAAGATTTGTTTATTTGAAAGGGACACAGGAAGAGGGAGAGACAGAGAGAGATCTTCCATTGGCTAGTTCACTCCCCAGATGGCCGCAGCCGCCAGGGCTGGGCTAGACAGAAGCTGGGATCCAGAAAACTCCATCCATATGTGTGGCAGGGGCCCAAGCACTTGAGCCATCTTCCGCTGCTTTTGCGAGGTCAGCAGCAGAGCAGCAGGGACTCCACGTGGCCCGGCGAGGTGGACGCGGGCGCTGCAGGCAGCGGCCTCACTCGCTGTAGTGCAACATGAGTCCCCAAACTGTGGGTCACCCCCACCCACACGGGTGTCTGCAGTGAGTTCTGGGCTCCCGGCTTTGTTGTGGCCCAATCCCAGCTGTTGGCAGACAGTGAGGGCGTGAACCTGCAAGTGGAAGATCTCTGGCTGTTGTCTCATTGCCTTTCGAAGAAATGCAAAATGTATTCGGAAGGGAAAACGTGTTATTATGAAAAAAACGATGCATGGGCATCAAAATCTTTTCTACCAAAATAAACTTGCATCTTTACAAAAGACAAATTGGGAAAGCAGAAAGAAAGAGAGCGAGATTCTCTCTCCACTCCTCTCTGCCAACATGACCTTGGTGGTTGAAATTGGGCCAGGCTGAAGCCAGGACCTGGGACACCACTCAGGCCTCCCACACGAGTGGCAGGGACACGCGTCCTTGGGCCATCCTCTGCTGCTTTCCCAGGCACATCGGCAGAGAGCTGGATCAGAAGTGGCTGAAACTGGTGCTCACAGGGGATGCCAGCAGAGCAGGCAGTGGCTTAACTCCCTGTGCCACAGACCTGGTTCCTAAACTTGCCTTTTCATTCTATTTGCATACATTTTTTTTGGAAGCACCCTGGTATATATATATAACTGGCACCCTTCTCTCTTTTTCTCTCTCTGTCACACACACACATACACACACAGAGTGAAAAAGTCTAGGAGGTCAAATATTATAAATAATATTTGTTATGATCAACATTATATCATAGCATGAATATCCTATCATTACTATTGAATAATTATATAATGATTTATAATATAATGATGGTGAAACTAGGGCCCAGAGAACTGAGGCAAGTGGTCCGCAGCGGCCATTTGGACAGAGCCGACCTTGCCATCATTCCGTTCTGCTTGGAAAACACAGGCTGTGAGTTCAAGTCCTGCCTCCACTGCTTGCCGGCTGGGCAGCCTTGACAAGCGTTCTTAGTTTCCTCATGGGTACAGCGACAGAGTTGCTTTGAAGATTAGATATGTGTGCCAAAGCTTCCAGGGGAAGACCCAGCATACAGTGTCTGTTGGGATACAAGATGCTGCCTCGGGGTCTGGGAGACATCTTCCGCCCTCTGGTGGTTGTGAGCATGAACTACTCTCGGATGAAGAGCCACAAGGAGGGAAGGAAGGTGTGCACTGGGCCACCAGTCAGGGTCCTGACAGCCTCACTTCTCAAAGTCCTTGTGGCAGTGTCTCCTCATCTGACTGTGCCAGCCACTGCCGGAGGAGGCAGCGTTAGGGTGCCTGTGGGTCAGATGGGGAAACCAGGGCCCAAGAAATGCCAAAATGCAACAGAAACGTATCAGGAAGCAGGGAGAGTGAAAGTCATGGGCGCGGAAGGAGGGAGGAAGGTGCAGGGGGTACTGCAGGGAGGGCATAGAGCAAGAAAGGGGGTGTAGTGGGCACCAGGTGACCACAGCACTTAAGACTCCGCCAGGGACACCTGCAGCCACTGCCCCCACTTGCGATCCCAGGAGGCAGCCAGCAGCGGGAACGTGCTGGGGTCCCCACCACCCTCATGGGAGACCCAGGTGAGAATTCCCGGCTCCTGGCTTCTGCCTGGCCCAGCTCTTACAGGGATTTGGGGACGTGAAGCAACGGATAAAACATGTCACATCTTGCTGCGCGTCTCCTTGCCTTTCAAAAAGAACGACAAACAAAAGCTGCAACAAAACTGACTGTCCACGATACCCACCTGCGGCAGGGTGTACCCTCGGAAGCAGGTGGTTCGCGTGAGCGCACGGGGCACGCCCATGGGCAACAGCGCCAGCAGCCGCTGGGCTTCGTGTAGTACAGCATCGGTGTAGGGGAGACGGGCACGGTCCGCCAGGCCTGGTGCCCGGCCTGCGCCCAGCTCCCGCGTCAGCTCTTCTTGCACACGCTCTGCACACAAGACAGAGGCAGTCAGAGGAGGCAGGGCCCGGTCACCTCCTGCACTGTCTCAGGCGGCCCAGTCCCTCAGGCACACATCCCGGTTCCCATAGCATGCCTGTGAACCTTGCTTTTTTTCCCCTCTTCACCAACGCTACCAGCTCCTGAGCGCCACCTTGTGATCAGCTGCTGGCCACGACAGCAGGTGACACAGCCGCCTGGCCCTAGAATGCTTGAGATTGGGGGGTGAGGGGGGACACACCCCGAGCCCTGCCCCTTCCTCACCGTGGCGGGTTCTGCTCCCCCGAGATCTGACGACCCCATTTTTCAATCTCGACCCCTCTATCTAGGGTCTTAGGACTTCCTTGCAACCCCTCCACCTCCAAGGGCTGGCCCAGGAGCCCCACACAAATTGCTTCAATTCCAGCTCCTTCTGAATCCTTCCTGTCCCCATCTCACCACGTGGTGCTTCTGCCCCCCTGCCAGAGATCTGCCCCCATGCCATGCTGGATGCCGCCCCGTCTTGTCCTCCACTCCTTCCACCCGAGTCCCAGCCCCAAGCCCACGCATTCTCACCCCGGACTCTGGCCCTACCCAGCTGTTCTGCTTGCAAAATTCTCCCTCCCCAGCCCTCGCTCCTGTTCCCTAAGCCTGGCAGGTGCGCACGGCCCTTACTGTGAACCTGAGGGAACTTCAGCAGCAGGAGCAGGGCATAGCAGATGGTGGCGCTGACCGTGGACGAGCCAGAAAACAGCAGGTAAGTGACGGTCATCAGCAGGTTCTTCTCCGTGAATTCTGTGTTTCGGTCTCGCTCCTCCTGGGTGAAGCCAGATCACAGAGGGCTCAGAGAGAAGGCAGGCTGCAGGGAGCCAGGTACGGGGTGGCATGCCGCGTGGCAAGGGAGGGCTTCGTCACAGAGTTCAAATGAACATTCGAGAAGGTCAGGAGGCTCTCTTTGGCTAAACTGCTTTTAAAAAGATTGATTGGAAAAGCAGAGTCACAGAGAGAGAGAAGGAAAGACAGAGAGAGCAAGAGGGAGAGCGAAATCTTTCCGCTGTTGGTTCACTCCCCAAATGGCTGCGATGGCTGGAGCTAAGCTGACCAGAAGCCAGGAGTCAGGAGCTTCCTCCAGCTCCCCTGTGTGAGTTCAGGATCTGACGACCTGGATTGGAAGCTGGATTGGAAGTGGAGCAGCTGGGACTCAAACTGGCGCCCACATGGGATGCTGCCGCTGCTGCGGGAGGTGGTTTTACCCTGTATGTCATAAAGTCAGCTCTTTAAAATGCTTTCCAAAAAAGTTTTTTAAAGCTGGAGTTACAGGGCCACGTGTGATGACTCAGTGACTAAATCCTCGCCTTGAAAACTCCAGGATCCCACATGGGCGCCGGTTCTAATCCCGGCTGCTCTGCTTCCCATCAGCTGCCTGCCTGTGGCCTGGGAAGGCAGTCAAGGACGACCCAAAGCCTGGGGACCCTGCACCCGCATGGGAGACCTGGAAGAAGCTCCTGGATCCTTGCTTTGGATCAGCTCAGCTCCAACCATTGCGGCCACTTGGGAAGTGAACCAGCAGATGGAAGATCCATCTCTGTGTCTCTCCTTCTCTCTGTAAAATCTGCCTTTCCAATAAAAATGAAAAATGTTTTAAAAGGGGAGTTAGGGAGAGAGAGAATCCTCCAACTACTGGTTTATTCCTCCATGTGAGCAGGGCCAGGATGAAGTCAGCAGACGGGGCATCGCCTGGTATCCCATGTGGCTGACAGGGACCCCAGGACTTGAGTCAGCTCTCTAATGTGGGACGTTGGCTTCCTCAACTGTGGCTTAACCTGCTGTGACACAGCGCCAGTCCTGGACAACTGACTGATTTTGAGTCATCCCCTCTGCCTCCTGGGAAGCTGGGGTCAGGCACAGTTACACACAGGAAAGTGATGGGGTCGTCTTAGCTGGTGGGCCACATGCCCACCCCTCTGTAAACTTCAGAATCCTTCATGGTCCATGCTGACAAGTTGCACATCTTCTCCAATGCTGACAAGTTTCTGTGGTTTTGATAGTGCCATTTGCTTTAATTGACAAGAACATTTCAGGGCTGGTGTGTGGTACAGCAGGATAAACTGCCACCTGCAAAAAATATCCTTTCCTCCACAAACAAAAAAAAGGATGCCTGCATCAGACTCCATGGTCCCACATCTCCACATTACTCCAAAATTTGCACAGCTCCACCTGAGTCATTTCTTTAGGAAATTCATTCTTTTTTTTTCTTCAGATAATCAATTAGTTTTATGGAAGTCACAGAATGGGTTTTGCTAGGACCATTTGAAATTGCAAAGTTTCAGGCCTGGCACGGTAGCCTAGTGGCTAACCCCTCACCTTGCACAAGCCAGGATCCCATATGGGCATCAGTTCTAATGCTGGCTGCTCCACGTCCCATCCAGCTCCCTGCCTGTAGCCTGGGAAAGCAATCAAGGACAGCCCAAATCCTTGGGACCCTGCACCTGCAGAGGAGACCCAGAAGAGGCTTCTGGTTCCTGGCTTCGGATCGACTCAGTTCCAGCCATTGTGGTCACTTGGAGAGTGAACCAGTGGATGGAAGATCTTTCTCTCTGTCTCTCCTCCTCTCTGTATATCTTCCTTTCCAATAAAAATAAAAATAAATCTTTTCTTTTTTTAAATAACAAACCAAACAAGCAAGCAAAAACAGAAGCAGAGCAGACAGGATTCAAACTGGCCCTCCCATCTGGGATGCTGGTGTCCCAAGAGGCAGTTGAACCCACTGCACCACGGTTTCCTAGCTGGATGTTGGTAATTCACAAAACGCTCCCAGTGTGCATAGCGGGGAGGAGTGCGGGGGGCAGTGAACTGATGGTGGGAGTAGCTGGTAGAGGACCCCAGTCACAGGACCTGAGAAGAACGGAGGGAGGAAGAAGGGAGAAGAGCCCCCAGCCTCAAACACATCGCAGGTACAGAGCAGGGCGAGGCGGTGAGGACAGAGCGCTGGAAGAGTCAGAGAGGTGAGCAGCAGACCGGGAGATGCTGAGGCCCCGCAGGTGCACCTGGCCCCTCCCACGCCCCGCCCCTTCCACCTTCTACCTGGGCCATCTTCAGCAGGAAGGCATCCACAACGTCACGGGCGGGGCCTGTGGCGTCCAGGCCCTCCTGGTGCCGGCGCACCTGCCGCACGGTGAAGGCAGCCAGGGTGCCCAGGTGGCGGAGGAGCAGCTGTGTCTGGGGGCTGGGCAGGGGCCGCAGGAACCAGGAGAACATCTCGTAGGTCTGTGGGGGGCAGAAGGAGGCCGCTGTCTTTAGGGCTCCGGAGGAGGGTCTTGGCAGGGTGGGTGGGTGGGTGCAGAAGGCTCCCGCCCACTCACCTGGGCCCACGGGGAGCTGGTCCCCCTCAGGGTACCCGCAGCCGCCCTCACCACAGCCTGGAACTCTTCATCGTCGTAAGGCATGCGGAAGCCGAAGAGGAGGGAACAGGCAATGTTGGAGGTGGCCTGGCCCAGCAGCAGGGAGGGGTCAAAGGGACGTCCTGGGAAGAACAGAGGGCGGGGATAGAGCCGAGGTGGAGCGTGCCCCCAACTCTCTCCGAGAAGCGCCAATGTGCAGGCACGTATCAGGGAGGGAGACTGAGAGAGAGAGACAGAGACGGGGGTCCAGAAGGACAGCCAAGACAATGCCAGGGGAACAGAGAGAGAGGACAAGAGTCCAAGGGTGGAGGACCCCAGCCCGCTGGCCACAGCTCTTGTGCGCGCAGGCACAGGCGAGGCTGGGGTGACGCCCACACCCGGGGACGGCTCCTCCCACCTGGGTCCCTCTGGGCTCCCCACTGACCCTGGAGGTCAGGCCCACACCTGGGGACGGCTCCTCCCACCTGGGTCCCCCCACTGACCCTGGAGGTCAGGCCCACACCTGGGGATGGGTCCTCCCACCTGCACCTCCCTGGCCCCCCTGAACCCCCACACTGACCTTGGGTCTTCAGCAGTTCCTCCACCAGGTTCTGGGCCTCTGCCTGGATCAACTCCTCGCCTTCTCGCTTTCCCATGCCCACATCCCGCAGGGCCAGCGTGGTGAACCGCCTCAGCTGCCGCCACCGCTCCCCATTGGCAAAGAAGACCCCTGCGTGTGTGGAAAGGCAGAACTCCATGAGGGGACAGCCCCTTGAGAACCCACTGGCAGCCCAGGCCCACCAGGCCTTCGCCCCTGCAGCTTCCCCCACCTGCACCCCACCCAGTCCCTGTTAAGGAATTTCCTGCATCCTTCAAGCTTCAGCTTGGATGCCACCTCCTCTGGGAAGCCTTCCTTTCTCCCTGCTCTCAAAGCTGCACTGTCTCATTACAGACCTGCCTCCCTCCCCTGCTGTGAGCGAGGGCCCCTTGTGTGTCTCTGACACCTCTGGGTGCGTCCCAGTGCCAGAGCAGGGCCAGCCGCTTTTCCTGTCCACCCTCACGCTTTGGGAGTTTGGTCCTTCTGTCTGCAACACCTCCCACTCTGTGTCGCATCCCTTCCAGGCGGACTTCCTAGATAACCCCATGCCTCCACACACACCTCCTCTGTATCCCTAACCGGCTTCCCTCATCCTTCCTGGCCCGGCCCCCTCTGGCTGCGCCTCCCTTAGCTCAACCCTGACCCTGAGAGCTGCCACTGTCAGGGGGACACAGACCAGCCTCCTGTGGTCTTGGGGCTGTGGGGAGCAGGACAGGGGTTGGCCCCGGGCTGTGACCCTGCAGCAGCCAGCATGAGCTCCCTGATCTGAGCCCCATTCCCCACCCCACCCTACACAGAATCATTGACATCAACACCTGGTCATCCTGAGTGGCAGCAGGTGCTGGCGGCTCCTGACTCACCATGGCCATCAAAAGTCGGGTCCAGCGTCACCAGTGCTCCCCGCCCAGCAAAATCCTCAGCTTGACCTCCCAGGGCCTCCTGCACGGCCTCATGCCCCACCAGGACCACCACGCGCCGCCAGGGGCCCAGGTGCACGGTGAACACCGGCCCGTATTTCTCGCTCAGCTGCATGGAGGCACAGAGGCAGGAAGCAAAGCTGGTCAGCGGCTGCCTCATCTAGCCCAGGTGCCACCCCTTGGGGCCCTGGCACTGGAGGGGCTGTTGGGTCAGGCTTCTGCTCCCTCTCCAGGAACCCTGTCCGACTACCCTCAGGCAAATAAACAACCCCCGTTCTTTTTGTCCCAAGCTCCCTCCCCTGACACATTTTTCAGTCCCATTTCTTTGCTTTGGGTCCTAATCTCTGACCGCAGGGACAAGCCAGAACCAGCTCTGGGCTCAGAAATTCTCACAACATCCCCTCACCCCTATCCCCCAGCAGGTGCTGCAGCACACCTGCCTCCAATCTCACCACCCACCCCACCCACCCTCCCACTTCTCCTTGGGCTCTATTCCCAGTTCTTCAGCACGGGGAAGCTCTTAGCACTATCACCCCATGCCCCCCAAGGTTAGGAGGCCTCACACCAACTTCTTTGTGGTTCCTTGGCATTGGAGGAACAGCACCCCAGTTCCTTCCATGAAGACCCCTCCTCTCCTCTCTCTGCCTCTTCCCATCCCTCCAGGACACTACCCTACTCCCCGACCCCCCCTCCCCACCCTCCCGCACACACACTTTCAGCTCTGGCCCTGTAGACTCCTGTGCCCCAGGACCCTCGCCCCTCACCCCATCCCGACTCCTTCCTGGGAGACTCAGAGGGGCTCCCTCTGGCCTGGCGCCCCGGTTTTCGTCCTTATCCCTCCTGGGGCCCTGGGGCCCCGCCCCTCACCCGCAGAAGCCCGGGGTACAGCCTCCCGGGACGGAGCTGAAGCAGGTTTCCCAGCAGCGGCAGCGGCCTGGGTCCCGGGGGCAGGTAGCTTGGCACCCGGGGCAGCGCCAGCGTCAGCAGCAGCAGCAGCAGGAGCAGCAGCAGCAGCAGCGCCCAGCTGCCAGCCGCCTCCATCCCCGCAGGTCCGCTGGGTCTCGGGCTCCCGGCGGCCGCACGCGTCTGGGCGGGTTAGGGGTGGGAGCCGAAATCAGGCGGCGGAGGCGGGGCCCGGGTCCTCCTGCCCGCCTCCAGGCGCGCCTCTCCCCGCCGCCCGCGCCCCCCGCTGCCGCCTGAGGTCGGGGTAGGGGCCACGCACCCCGGAACGGGTCCCCCAAGGTTTGCTCCGAGGTTTGCGCGGTGCTTAACAGCGCCTCCGACACCCCAGCTGCGGGAGGGTAGGGCAAAGACAAACAGGAGGAACCTGATGCAAACCCGAGACTTTGCCCTCCTGCGGGTGGCCACACCCCGCGCCTGGCGCTGACCCCGCGCCGCCCTCCGCGACTCCCAGCTCCCCTCGGCTCCCGGGCACGCGAGCGAGCGCGCGTGCGTGCGTGCGGGTGTGCATGTGTGTGTATGTGTGCCAGGGAGTCTGTGACCTCTTCCCGACCGGGAGGGATGGTGGGGACCTGTAACCACAAGAGTCTGGGGTCCCGGGCAGCGCCTGGGCGGGCCCTGAGTCATTCCTTCATTCACTCAGAGACGCTTCGTGCAGTGATTGGCAGGCGGGGGAGGCGGGGAACTCTAAAATGAGGCTAACTCCTAGAATTGAGCAGGAACTGACATTCTGTGAAATGCACTGGTGTCCGCCCGCTCCTAAAGCTGTTTTTTTTTGGGGGGGGGGGGGAGTTCGTTTTTGCACGCTCATCCATCAGTTGACTGGTGGCTGGCGGTCCTTAGCTGGCTTCAGGATGGGAGCTCTGCCTGGAAAGACAGGCTCCGACCTCCCACCTCTGACAGGCGCTGAAGGTCAAGCAGTGATGGCATCCAGCAGGCCTGTGCAGTGATGCTTCAGCCAATCCCCCAGAGGTCGGGGTTGCAAGAGCTTCCGGATGGCTGGGCTGGTGGAGGCTCTTCCTACCACCTCCCTCCCCCGCCGGGTTGTGGAGCCTGAGAGAGCACGCAGCTCTGCCTCTGCTCCCCAGCCTCTCCCCGCCTGAGTCCTTTGTCATCTCCCCTTAGCGTCGGGGCAGTCAGAGCCGGCACAGCTGTTTGTCTGAGTCCTGGAGGCTGTGGCAGCAGGTGCACTGTATCCCAGCGAGAGAGTCCTTGGCATTCCAAATGGCATCTGAGGTCAGGGGTCTGAGAGCCTGGAGGATCCAGGACCTGAGCCTCTTTGATCTGTGGAATGTGGGACGGGATGCTGACTTCAGGCAGGGCGTGTGGGGTGGGAGCTGAAGCCAGCAATGGCAGCAGCAAGATCACCTGTCTCCTGTGAGGGAGACGTGGTTGAATGTGTAGTGAGAGAGACCGAGGCAAAGGGGAGGTGCTTTTTTTGTTAATTGTACTTTTATTTGGAAGTCAGAGTTACAGAGAGAAAGCGAGACAGAAACGTCTTCCATTGGACGGTTCACTCCCCAAATGGCTGCAACAGCCAGAGCTGAGGTGATCTGCTCTGAAGCCAGGAACCTCCCATGTGGGTACAGGTCCCAAGGCCTTGGGTCGTTTTCCACTGCCTTTTCCAGTCCATAAGCAGGGAGCTGAATGGGATGTGTGGGCAGCCAGGACGAGAACCAGTGCCCAGATGGCATGCTGGTAACGCACTTTTTTCCTGTTATACTGGGATACTGGACCCTGAGTCTTTTTCTTTTTCTTTCTTTTTTCTTTTCTTTTTTTTTTTTTAAGTACTCAAGTGTGCTGATGCCCACAAGTGGGTATATGCCAGTTCTAAGTCAGTGTTGGCTACTGTTTATCCTTAGATCCTTGTTGGCATCTGTAAGTGACACACTACAGTATTATTTCACAAGCCAGACGGGGTCCTGGTCTTGAGCAGGCACTCACAGCCACATGTAAATAAAGCTGAGATTAGATCATTTCAGGAAGTGCCAAGGCCTGCTGTACAAGTGTTTGTGTGTATGGTAGAGGAGGTGGGGGAGGGAGGGATGGGTTTGCTGCAGAAGAATGCGGATTCTCAGACCCCTGGGAACCAGGGTGGTCTGGCTACCCCTGTGGGTGGTTGCTGTGCCTGGCGCAGAGTGGATCCCGGGAGTCTCTGGGGCTGCCTGGCAGGGCCCTGGGAAAGATCCTGCATTTTGTTTCCAGTGCAAAGGGGGAGCAGTACGGAGGGCCTTCTGCCCTTGGAGATTCCGCCTGGGTCTCCTCCGTGGGTGACAAAGACCCAGGAATCCGAACTATGGTGTCGCTACTTGCCAGGACACACGGTGGCGGGGAGCTGGAGCGCAGAATGGTGCCGCCCTTTGAACAGAGGGGACGTGGGCATTCCAGGTGCTGCTTGGTCGTCCTCCAGGGCTGCCCCCATTTGACGTTTCATCACAATAAACCTCCCAAATCTACAACAAGCAGCCGGTGTTGTGACACAGTGCGTCAAACTGTCTCTTGGGACGCTAGCATCCCATGAGTGCACGTTCAAATCCTTGCTGATTTACTTCCACACCAGCTCTCTGCTGATGCACTGCGAAGGCCACAGATAATGGCCCAATGCTTGGGCCCCTGTGGGGGACTGGATGGAATTCTAGCAAGTCTTTTTTTTTTAATTTTGTGAATACCTGTAAAGAGAGAAAAAAAATCCTCTATTTTCCAGAGGTTCTATACTTGAGTCTGTGGAATAATCTAGAGTAGCCAGAATAACAGCAGGAAAAAAAAAAAAAAGATTGCATTGCCTGCAGCAGGTGTCCTTGAGTTCCGCGGACTCTGAGATGGGCCGGGTGAGTAAGGTTTACGCAGCCTCCTCCGGGGCTGTGGACAGGAATGGGCGACTGAGGCGGGGCATGAGCCAAGAGCGAGCAGAGGGGAAGACACAGGTACAGGTGCTTGCAGGTGGAAAGTCACCCAAGAGACAGAAGTTTTCTCACAGCAGCGGCAACCCCCACCCCCGTCCCTTCTGATCCGTAGGATTTCCATCAGAGATGTAAATTTCCTTTACAAAGGACAGCTTTTCTGATCTACTCCTGTGTCTGCAGTTTCTCAAAATAACCAGCTCAAAATACCCCCGAGGAAGGATATTTTGGGGTGGTACATTCTGCTCTCCTCCTGTCATCTTTAGGGGTGGCATGTACTGAGCCCCAACAAACACCTATCACCCAGATTCTGCCAGTAATTTTTTTTTTCAATAAGAATGTATTTATTTGAAAGGCAGCCACAGAGAGACAGAGATCTTCCATCTGCTGGTTCTCTCCCCAGATGCCCCTAATGACTCGGGACTGGCAAAAACCAGCAGCCCTGACCTCCATCCAGCGCTCCCGCGTGCGTGGCGGGGACCTTAACCACGTGAGCCCTCACCTGCTGCCTCCCAGGGAAGCGGAGCCCCCCAATCTGAACCCAGGCCCTCTTGGCTGGGCTGCAGGTGTGTCAAGTGGGGTCCCAGCTGTGGGGTGAAGCACCTGCTCTGTTCGAGGGAGGGATGCCAGCGGAGGTAGAGCTGGCAGGGTGGCTGGACCAGCTGGGTGTGAAGGCAAAGGGAAAGGCGGGTTGATATTCCCTTAGAAGCAGAGCTGGTGTCAGGCAAGGAGGCTCATGGGAGTACAGGAGGGAGACTAGCAAAGGCGATGAGCGGGTCTGTGGATCCTGGATGGAGAGGGGGCACGTTGCTTAGCAACACACATCCTCCCTGTCGCTGGACTATGCCGTCATCGGCGCCACGGTGGGAGACCAGCGCCATTGACAGAGGGGAGGAACCAAGGGAGGGAGTGACCCAGGCAGCTGCAGAGCGGGTGATTTTGGGGTCCCCTGGGTTCCCCGGAACAAGCAGAGGAGGAACTGAGAACTGGAGACTCCTTCCTGTTCCTCCCCACTTCCTCGAAGACCCCAGAGATTCCATGGACCCCAAGAGAACATGTGGTCACGCTCTGTCTTTCAAAAATACTGATTTACTTAGAAGTTACAGAGAGGAGGCAAGAGGTAGATGTCCCACATGCTGGTTCATGCCCCAAATGCCCACAACAGCCAAGGTTGAGTCAGGCCAAGGTCAGGAACTCAACTGAGGTCTCCTACACGACGGTGGAGGCCCAGGGACCGAGTCAGCAGGCTGCCACCCACAGCGCACACTATCAGGGAGCTGGCTGGCATGCAGAGGCCGAACTTGAACCAGGCACTCCTGTACAGGGTGCAGGACCCCCAGGCTGTGTCCTCACCCCTGCTCCCAATGCCCACCCCAGGCATGTTCCTGAGAGAAAGAACCCTGGCCTGGAACCCAACTTGCACAGACTCGGGGAGTCCCGTGGTGAAGTTACAAGTTCCTGAGCCTCCAAAGACTCCAGCACGCGCTTGAGTTGGTCCCAAGTCTCTGGGCTGTGCCCGGGTGTGGGGCTCGGGGTCAGCCGGCTCACGCTCTCCCCTTGCCCCATATGTGCGCCTTCTTTTCCGTGTTCCCCCATTGGCCATGCGGGCCCTGGCTCCCCGCCTACAGGCTGAGGCTGACTGCAGTTGAACATCCCTTCAGGAGAGACCCCGCAGCTACCCTACAGCAGAACCAGCCCCCTCCCCAATCCCAGGTCCTGCCTCAGCGGATTCCTATAGAACCCTGTAGAACCCTATAGAAATACTGAGCCCTTAGCCTCCACACAGCAAGCCTTGCCGGTGATGCGTCGGTTGTTTTCTTCCCCTGAAAAGCATCTTCCGTTTGATTGGCTTCTTTATTCTGTCCCTCCTTCCTCCCCTGCCCTCCACCTGGTTCTGTCCACGAGGGCAGGGATTCGTGTCTGTCCATCACTGCTCTATCTGCCAAGCTCAGCAGGGTGCTGCACATACTAGGTGCTCAGAAAACATCTTGTTAAAAATCAAAGACGAGGGCCCAGCATGGTAGCCTAGTGGCTAAAAGTCCTCACCTTGCACACGTTGGGATCCCATATAGGCGCTGGTTCATGTCCCGGCAGCCCCACTTCCCATCCAGCTCCCTGCCTGTGGCCTGGGAAAGCAGTCGAGGATGGCCCAAAGCCTTGGGACCCTGCACCTGCGTGGGA